CAGCAGTTTTGAATACTATAAGGTAAGAAACCAAACATAGGAAGTCAGCAGTTTGCCAATGCACAACCAGGAAAAAATATCCGCTACTAATTCTGTGGAAAATGTTCAGAGTTTCTTCCTCTGCACCCAAAAAGTTAAGGCCTAGAGAAATATAGTAGTTTTGTTCACATGCCAAAAAGAAAGAGCATAATTTTCTAAATACATGATGGCCCAATGAAGAGAACTACATCTACTGTTCTGGGCAAAAAAATAATGCTCAATGTTTTTAACAGACAATGGCATTTACTTCATTGATAAAGAGTTATAAATTGTAATCATATATTTACTGGGATTTGAGGATCTTCCCAATAGAATCAGTTCATTCATTTAACACAATTACTCTAGAGTAAGCACTTTAATAAGCATCATTTAATATTTGTACCTGTAAATGGTCCCTATAAACAATTAAAAATGTTCTAAAATATAAAACTTTCATTTAATGATTTTTCAAAATTATGAAGAAAAGGTTAAAAATTATATAGTGCATAAATTACATAAATTATCATGCACACTCCTAGATTTTTTGCAGAGAATTTCTCTGATACAGCATTATGCATGGAAAGAACCAAAATCAGCATTTACATACAAGCAGCATTTCAGCAAATCTCCCTGAAGGATGAACTCTGAAGATGGAAGAAAAAATAAGAGCTACTGCCTTCAGCCATGTATTTTACATTTCACAGCTTTTCTATATTTCATGACTTACTGAGCTTTGCAATAATACTAAGCTTGTAAGGTATAAAAACAGACTCCAAAGCCCAAAATTACTTCTAAAAACATATTTTAAAAAACAGCTTAAAATGATTTCCCCAAATCTACTGTATTTTGGTTCTCATCCTTTCCAATCAAGCTTATAAAGTATGCCACTGGAGGAGGGGGTGGCCTAAAATACCTGACTGCAAAGTCAAATTTTACTCAGTTATTTTCCAACATTTTTGCATATTTAATCAAGTTTTCCTGTGACTCTAGGAATCATTTTGACGCTTTGAAATCCAATGTCATAACGGACAATCTGCCCCAAATATTAACACATTTTGTGCCAGAAGCAGGGTTGTCTGATGTGACACACATAAAACAGGGGGCAAGGGAAGCTAAACAGTTGTGATTGCCATCTTGATATTCCCCCCCCCCCCGCACTCCCTTCATTGGTGTCACTGGAAATTACAGATGCAATTTTTATTTAATTTTTATATGAAACACTCTCATTTGCTTTTTCTCTGAAAAGAAGCACGCACCGAATGCTGCCAGTTCAGGTTCTTTCTTCCACTTTCCAAGCGACGCAGGAGGATTAAGCCAGATGACTGTGGTATGCAATAGCAAATCTCCCATAGAAAGATCTGCCACCTGCCAGTCACATGCCCATGCAAAAGAAAATGAGAGTTTTAAAAAGGCATTTAATAAAGTCACTAAAAATAAATTTGAGCCTCCTTTTCCTGGCATTCTCTGACTTTGGCCACACACATCTCAAGAAAGAACAGAGCAGCTCTGAGGTGTTGCAGTCAGATGCTAAGTTCATACATTCCAGAACATGAAACAGCTGTCATGGCTGGATTCCCAATGAAGAAGTAAACAGGACCAGTCCTGCTTTGCTTTGTGAGATGGCAGGAATGGGCCAGGAACTGACATACATATATATATATTATCTTGAGTTTGGTGCACCCTGTCGGCCCAAATATGGGCTGCCTAACATGCAGACAGCCCAGGTTCGAATCTCAGAAGGGTATGTCTGGTTGAAAAGAACTAAAAAGTTCGAAATGGCTATTCCAGTTCTCCCTTAATTCTTTGTTAGCAATCCAAATTTTGAATATGAATATATATATTCATACTCAAATATATATTCATACTCATATTCATATATATATATACTCCCAAATTTTTCCCTTTGTCTTCTAATCTTTTCTTCATTTTTCTTTTCTTTTTGTTCCTTTTTTAATGTTTTATCTAAATTATCTATATATTTATCTAAATAAAACATGAAAAGGGAACAAAAAGAAAACAAAAAAGGAAATAAAAAAGACTAAAAGCAAAAGGAAGAAAGTCTTGCTTTTTGTCTTGCATCATTTCTTCAAACAAAAGAAAAAAGCAAATTAATAACAGCTTCCTATTGTGTACCTTTTAATCTTAAATCAATTGTCCTAATAATTTCCATTTCTAGGTACATTATGCCGTAGGTATTAAAACTGTTTCAAATGTGTCTAAAAAATTCTAGCTATTAATCATATCATTTCCTTATAGAATGTCTATCAAAAGGAAACTAAACCCCAAAGCCAGTTATTTCACTGTGTAATTTTTTGTTACACTATGTATAACATACAAAGCAGATGTTCACCAATGTGACCTAAATATGCCTATNTGAAATAGAATCGCTGCTCAACACTGTCCGTATATATAGCCAAGATATTGCAATGGAGTTTGGCTTGGACAAATGTGCTACACTTACTATCAAACAAGGGAAAATAGTGAAAACTGAAGAAATCAAGATGCCCCACGAAAATTAAGAGTCTGGATGAGGAAGATTACTACAAATACTTGGGTATCCTTCAAGCTGACAACATCAAGCACACGGAAGTCAAGAAAAAGATTAGAGGTGAATACACCAAGAGAGTGAAGAAGATCTTAAAGTCCAAACTCAATGGAGGAAATACCATGAAAGCAATCAACACCTGGGCAATTCCAGTCATTAGATACACAGCTGGAATAGCGGACTGGACTCAAACAGAACTAAAAGCAATGGATGGGAAGACCAGAAAAATCATGACAATGAATCATGCCCTTCATCCACGCAGTGACATTGACAGACTCTATCTACCAAGGCAAATAGGTGGGCGTGGAATACTGCAAGTACATCAGATGGTTGAAGAAGAAAAAATTGCTTTGGAAGAATATCTGAAGGACAATGATGAAGATGCACTGAAATTAGTATATCAGGAAGGCTTACTGACTACTGGAGAGACCAAACTCGCCTACAAGAAAGACCAAATGAAGAACAGAATAGAGGCATGGGAAGACAAAGCACTACACGGCCAGTATATTAAAAAAAATAGCTGGGAAAGCAGATAATAACAAGACCTGGCAATGGCTAAGAGCAGGAAAATTGAAGAAAGAGACCGAGGGACTAATTCTGGCTGCACAAGACTAAGCCTTAAGGACAAATGCATATAAAGTCAAAATTGAGAAGACAGCAACAGACAGTAAGTGTCGCCTATGCAAAGAAGCTGAAGAAACAGTGGACCACCTGGTAAGCTGCTGCAAGAAGATCGCACAGACTGACTACAAGTAACGGCATGACAAAGTAGCAACAATGGTGCATTAGAAGATCTGCAAGAAATATTATTTGCCTGTAAGCAAGAACTGGTGGGATCATAAAATAGAGAAAGTCATGGAAAATGATAAAATTAAACTGCTCTGGGACTTCAGAATTCAAACAGACAAGCACCTGCAACATAACACCCTGGACTTAACAATTGTCGATAAGAAAGACAAAAATGTCTTGATAGTGGACGTGGCAGTGCCTAGAGACAGCAGAATAGACGAGAAAGAACTGGAGAAGATAACAAAATACAAAGACCTACAAATAGAAATAGAACGACTGTGGCAAAAGCAAGCAAGGGTAGTACCAATAGTAATAGGTGCCTTGGGTGCAATCCCAAAACAACTGGAGCACCACTTGAGCACCATTGGCATTGACAAATTCGCCATTAGACAATTGCAAAAGGCGGCCTTACTAGGAACTGCTTCCATCCTGCGATGATATCTGTAATAACATCAAACATCCACATCTGCCTATCCCAGGTCCTTGGTAAGGACTCGATAGGACAAAAATGCCAAATCCAGTCTTATCATCTGGCTGACTGTGCGATGATCAATAATAAAGGGACCTTGGAGGTCTTCTAGTCCAACCCCCTGCTCCAACAGAAAACCCTATATCATTTCAGACAAATGGTTGTCTAGTCTCTTCTTAAAAACTTCCAGTGTTGGAGCATTCACAACTTCTAGAGGCAGGTTGTTCCACTGATTAATTGTTCTAACTGTCAGGAAATTTCTCCTTAGTTCTAGGTTGCTTCTCTCTTTGATTAGTTTCCATCAATTACTTCTTGTACTACCTTCAGGTGCTTTGGAGAATAGCTTGATTCCCTCTTCTTTGTGGCAGCCCCTGAGATATTGGAACACTGCTATCGTGTCGCCCCTAGTCCTTCTCTTCATTAAACTAGACATACCCAGTTCCAGCAACCGTTCTTTATATGTGTTAGCCTCCAGTCCCCTAATCATTTTTGTTGCTCTTTTCTGCACTCTTTCTAAAGTCTCAACATCTTTTTTACATCGTGGTGACCAAAACTGGATGCAGTATTCCAAGTGTGGCCTTACCAAGGCATTGTAAAGTGGTATTAACACTTCACGTGATCTTGATCCTATCTCTCTGTTAATGCTTTTTTTGGCAGCTTTTTTTGGCAGCTGCAGCACACTGCTGGCTCATATTTAAGTGATTTCCACTAGGACTCTGAGATCCCTCTCACAGTTACTACTATTGAGCAAGGTACCACCTATACTGTACCTGTGCATTTGGTTTTTCTTGCCTAAATGGAGAACCTTACTTTCTTCACCATTGAATTTCATTTTGTTAGACAGCACCCAGTGTTCAAGTCTGTCAAAATCCTTCTGTATCTTAAGCCTATCTTCTGGAGTGATGGCTATTTCTGCCAGCTTAGTGTCATCTGCAAATTTGATGAGTTCTCCCTCTATCCCCTCATCCAAATCATTGATGAAGATTGATGAATCGTTTGATATTATTGATAGTAATAATAAATCACTCTATTAAAAAAGGAAAACTTTGTTCTTTCCAAAAATTAACTTTAATAGTTTAGCATAATTATTGCTAGAATGACCTATCTAATTATCCCAATCTATCTAATAGGATATTTTACTTTTTGTTGCTTAATGCTATTTACAATTGATAAACTTACCAATTTTTTCTTCTGTTTCACTCCTTCTTTATATACAAGTACCACAGCAGTTTTGAATACTATAAGGTAAGAAACCAAACATAGGAAGTCAGCAGTTTGTCAATGCACAACCAGGAAAAAATATCCGCTACTAATTCTGTGGAAAATGTTCAAAGTTTCTTCCTCTGCACCCAAAAAGTTAAGGCCTAGAGAAATATAGTAGTTTTCTTCACATGCCAAAAAGAAAGAGCATAATTTTCTAAATACATGATGGCCCAATGAAGAGAACTACATCTACCGTTCTGGGCAAAAAAAATAATGCTCAATGTTTTTAACAGACAATGGCATTTACTTCATTGATAAAGAGTTATAAATTGTAATCAATTTGAGGATCTTCCCAACAGAATCAGTTCATTCATTTAACACAATTACTCTAGAGTAAGCACTTTAATAAGCATCATTTAATATTTGTACCTGTAAATGGTCCCTATAAACAATTAAAAATGTTCTAAAATATAAAACTTTCATTTAATGATTTTTCAAAATTATGAAGAAAAGGTTAAAAATTATATAGTGCATAAATTACATAAATTATCATGCACACTCCTAGATTTTTTGCAGAGAATTTCTCTGATACAGCATTATGCATGGAAAGAACCAAAATCAGCATTTACATACAAGCAGCATTTCAGCAAATCTCCCTGAAGGATGAACTCTGAAGATGGAAGAAAAAAATAAGAGCTACTGCCTTCAGCCATGTATTTTACATTTCACAGCTTTTCTATATTTCCTGACTTACTGAGCTTTGCAATAATACTAAGCTTGTAAGGTATAAAAACAGACTCCAAAGCCCAAAATTACTTCTAAAAACATATTTAAAAAAACAGCTTAAAATGATTTCCCCAAATCTACTGTATTTTGGTTCTCATCCTTTCCAATCAAGCTTATAAAGTATGCCACTGGAGGAGGGGGTGGCCTAAAATACCTGACTGCAAAATCAAATTTTACTCAGTTATTTCCCAACATTTTTGCATATTTAATCAAGTTTTCCTGTGACTCTAGGAATCATTTTGAGGCTTTGAAATCCAATGTCATAACAGACAATCTGCCCCAAATATTAACACATTTTGTGCCAGAAGCAGGGTTGTCTGATATGACACACATAAAACAGGGGCAAGGGAACCTAAACAGTTGTGATTGCCATCTTGATATTCCCCTCCCCCCCAGCACTCCCTTCAGTGGTGTCATTGGAAATTACAGATGCAAATTTTATTTAATTTTTATATGAAACACTCTCATTTGCTTTTTCTCTGAAAAAAAGCACGTACCAAATGCTGCCAGTTCAGGTTCCTTCTTCCACTTTCCAAGTGACGCAGGAGGATTAAGCCAGATGACTGTGGTATGCAATAGCAAATCTCCCATAGAAAGATCTGCCACCTGCCAGTCACATGCCCATGCAAAAGAAAATGAGAGTTTTTAAAAGGCGTTTAATAAAGTCACTAAAAATAAATTTTTCTTTTCCTGGCATTCTCTGACTTTGGCCATACACATCTCAAGAAAGAACAGAGCAGCTCTGAGGTGTTGCAGTCAGATGCTAAGTTCATACATTCCAGAATATGAAATAGCTGTCATGGCTGGATTCCCAATGAAGAAGTAAACAGGACCAGTCCTGCTTTGCTTTGTGAGATGGCAGGAATGGGCCAGGAACAAAAAGAAAAGAAAAATGAAGACAAGATTAGAAGACAAAGGGAAAAATTTGGGAGTGTATATATATATATATATACACTCCCAAATTTTTCCCTTTGTCTTCTAATCTTGTATTCATTTTTCTTTTCTTTTTTTCCTTTTTAATGTTTTATCTAAATTATCTAAATATTTATCTAAAGAAAACATGAAAAGGGAACAAAAAGAAAACAAAAAAGGAAATAAAAAAGACTAAAAGCAAAAGGAAGGAAGTCTTGCTTTTTGTCTTGCATCATTTCTTCAAACAAAAGAAAAAAGCAAATTAATAACAGCTTCCTATTGTGTACCTTTTAATCTTAAATCAATTGTCCTAATAATTTCCATTTCCTCCATGTAATACGGCATCCATAATTTTGACAAAGTTTACACAGATTTTTTAAGATCGATAATTAGTATAGTAAAGGAATATCTTACAGATAGTTTTCCTTTGATTTGGGGTTTCGGTCAATAAAGTGACACATTAAAAAACAATGTGATACATATTGTATGTTTCGTCTACAAGTGGTTACACTGGATTTATACGGATACATGATTGAAGAAATGAGATTATACATGCAGTAATAAACACATAAAGTACTGAGTCTTATGGCAACTGGATTTATTTTTGTTGAGATGTTTTGCTGCTCATCCAAGCAACTTCCTCAGTCTGAGCACGTTAGTTAGGCAGAGAGTTGCTGGAATGCATCAAATTCAGGGTTTCTTCCCCAAAATGTTGATGAAGACTCTCAGTCATCCAGGTAGAGTTGTCTGAAAATTGAGTCATGGCAACTGGTCTATATCAAATTTTGTTAATTTGAGATGTTTTGCTGCTCAACCACGTAACTTCCTCAGTCTAATTACCTAGATGGCTGAGAATCTTCATCGAAATATTAATACTGAGATTTCCATTTAAGCAACACACATATAAGGTAACAATGAGAATTCTTTCCAATTATTTTCCCTTTTCTTATAATATATGAGCCCAGCTCCCCACAACATCCAGGTGGCAATATCTAATACAATCGAAGAAAGGTTAAGCATCATTATTTACATCACTATGAGAGGATTTTCATAGCTGGGTACCTCTTTCTTATCTCCTGTTTGTTCCGCAATGAGCTGATCAAACACAGCTCCATATTCTTCATGGATTTTCTGCATTTCATTGATATGGCTAGCAACCTTGTTCATTGTTTTTATGGCCACTAGAAAGCAAGCAAAGATATAAACAGATTGCATCAGAGTTGACCTGATTATATTACTGAACATGGAAAGCTCTTTTCTGTCATAGTCTTAAAATCGTAATTTTAATACTTCAGTATGGTCCTAGGCTGATGATATTATATTATGCTATATTGGTCAGCAGGAATTTTATTTTCCCTTGCATTATTGGCTCAGTCATTTTTAGTGTTCTGATCATCAACTCAATGGAAATGTCTCCTGAGTCTCATCTAGTAAGCAAAAGAGCAGCAGTTAAAGTGAACAAACTGCCTTTTCAACCACAGTCTCATAAAATCTAAGGACTACAGATATTAACAATGGTTCAAAGTTACAACAGCCTTGGAAAAAGTTATTTCCATCCTGTTCTTACACTTATAATGGTCATACCAACTCACAGTCATGTGATCACAATGTAGGTGCTTGGCAACTGACTTGTATTTATGACCAGCTACAGCATCCTTGTAGGTTGCAGTCAGTTTCTTGACAAAAAAAAAAATCAACTGGGGAAGCTGGATTCATTTAACAAACACAGTTCGTTTAACCACCACAGCATAACTGTTTCTAAAATTGGGCTCAGTTACATGATTCGTGTTATAACTGCACTGACTTAACGAAATTCTCGTCTCAATTGTGGTTGTAAGTTGAGGACTCTCTGTATGTCTGTACAGGTAGTCCTCAATTTATGACCACAATTGAGCCCAAAATTTCCATTGCTAATTAAGACAGTTGTTAAGTGAGTTCTGCCCCATTTTATGACTTTTCTTGACAGAGTTGTTGTTAAGTGAATTACTGTTAAGTTAGTAACATGGTTGTTAAGTGAAGCTGGCTTCCTCACTGACTGTGCTTGTCAGAAGGTCAAAAAAGGTCATTACATGACCCCGGGACACTGCAACTGTTATAAATACATGCCATTTGCCAAGCATCTGAATTTTGATCACGTGACCATGAGGATGTTGCAATGGCTGCTAAGTGTGAAAAATGGTTAAAAGCTACTTTTTTCAGGGCTTTTGTAACTTCAAATGGTCACTAAACGAATGGTTGTACATCAAGGACTATCTATCTATCTATCTATCTATCTATCTATCTATCTATCTATCTATCTATCTATCTATCTCTATATCTATCTCTATATCTATCTATATCTATGTATCTATATCTATATCTATATGTATATCTATATATTTATGTATCTATATCTATATATCTATATCTGTCTATATCTATATCTAATCTATATATCTATCTCTATCTATCTACATCTATCTATCTCTATCTCTCTATCTATCTGTCTATCTATCTATCTCTATCTATCTATATCTACATCTATAGATATAGAGATACAGATATAGAGATAGAGATAGAGATATATACACATTCTTCTATGTTAAGAAACTTTATCAGAAACAATGGCAAAACCAAAAGTACAAACGAAAGAGAAGTTAGAATAATAGTTTACCAACTTTACCATCAAGATGATAATGTTCTTCACTATCAGCATCAGTGAGAGTAAATAGTTCTTTCAGCAGAAGAGGGTACTTCAATATCCTCTGGATTGGTTTGATGAGGTAAGACTCTAATGTTGATGAATGTTGTCTTCTGGGATTCTGGGCATCTAAGAATGCTTTAAATGCTGTGTCTGTCTTAGCTGTGTTTTGAAAATAAAAAAGATATCTCAAGAAATAATTTAGTTACTCTCTCTATTACAGAATATTTCTACTATATTAGAAGATACAAATTATAGATAAAACTTATTCCAGCTTTCATCTTTAAAATGTGAATGATCTTTCCGAGTATATTATATAAGATTGAAGAAATGGCCATTGGACATTCAAAACACAAAGTAGCCAAAAATGATGTAGTTTAAGTTTGATCTACCACTTGTGGATGAATGATATCAAGAGACCAACTAGTAGTTTAATAATCATAAGGGAAGGAATAGTGCATAGACATTTATGTTATGTTTACTCTCTTCCTTATATTTTCCAACATAAAAGAAATCAGGCTCTCACATTTCATATTGCTAAAAAGATCTGGAACTGAAATGTCTTCCATTTCAAAGCATTTTTCAACCAACCTTATCTAATATAACCTTACTTATATGAATCTGTAATATGTATGCCGGAGTGTAGAATCTGAAGATAACTCAGCTGCCATGAAGTACAGCTCCCTACTACACTTAAAGCTTGCAATAAGGAATTATTGACAAAAGGATGCCTCATCAACTCTCCAGCAAAGTAGAATTCCCCTTTCCCATTTGTCTTTTGAAGTTCCAACATCACTTAGATCTTTACACTCTGAGACAACTCCGTATTTTGAGAAACATTGTACTATCTGGGACAGAAAAAGTTGTGCATATCCCACTCTTACCTTTCACTAGGACTTTTGGAACCTTTGTGTGGCTCGCGCAGAAGGCACTATATAGCTTGAAACGGTCAGCATAATACAGGAAGGATCCACCCAAGGAAAACAACACTTTCTAGGATCAAGCATATATAAATCAGAATGTTGAAATAGGTCAGAGGGAAAGCCTGCTGACCTTAACATCATAAAAGAAAATAAATATTCTCCAACTAGTAACTGACAACTTTTGACTTCGTATTTACAAAAGCAAAGTTTTTTGTTTATAAATTCTAAGAGGCAGGGGCCAAGAGAGATCACTTAAAACATTAAATACAAATTAAACACTAAGATATATATTCTATTGCTAAAAGCAGGCAATATTGCATAGAATTGGGTCACTAGGAAGTTCCCTCTTTATTAAACTAGTCTTTAAAAGAATATGATTGATATGGAATTTTTGGACATGCTCATTCCCACACACTGTAGAATTCTCCCCTAATTCTACATGGAAAGAGGAAGCTTTTCTGGGTTGCTGCATTGTGACAAGCATCAGCTCCCAGATTAAAAATCTTACACAAAGAAAGCGATGACTGCAGCTAAGCTGGTCTTATTATTTATTTAATGCATAGTCCTACAAGAAACCCATACCTAGGGATCAAATATCATTCAAACATGTCACCTTATTGAGATCAGATGAACATTTTAAAAGCTAAACGAATTCAACTGCATTGAAATCATAATCACAGTGAATTATAGAATATGCACCCATTGCCCTATTGTAAATTACTGCCTACAGTAATACTTAATGCCATTTTTCAATGCCTCCGATGTTTTTTCAGCCTGTTTTTTTACTATTTTTGTTTAGTTGCCCTTTCCTTCATTTTAAATGATAGACAATTCCTGACAGAGAAAAAAGAAGTGTCAGAGGCTAATAACTTTCACCGCCACTGTTTCAACAAGCACTTTAACTACTTTTCTCCTGCTTCAGTGAGCATTCAAGCTACAATTATAATTCAGAGACGTTATCTGAATTATTTTGTAGGCAGTGATATGTTAGAGTTGCTGAACTAGGACTTTAGGTAGCAATGTTTCCGCTGCTAACTCTTCCTAATCAAAAATTGACATAGGGAATTAAATAAACAATTAGGTATGCCTTTACAGGCATTGCAATTATCCGTTGTTGTTGCAGTACTAATGTATTTTATTTTGTAAGATATCATTCTCATCAAAGTTGTTTCTCAGCAAATGATTTGCAAAAAAACAAATTAAAAACTGTGAAAAAAAATGTTCATTTGACTACTGTGGTAATATTTCTGATTACTAGTAAAAGAATTGCAATTAAAGGCTTACTTTAAACTGGTCAACTTTTTCAAGCTTTTCCAGATCTGGCACCAACCTTACTCCGTCTTCAAGTGTTTTCAAGAACTCCACTTGAAATGCCACCATTTCAGTCAGATTCCCAAAAAGAACATCAAGCTGGTAAGGCATAAAATTTTTAAAAATCATATTTTTCATAAAAACAATAACATTTAAGTGTTGTGTTAGGCACATTTGCCTTTGTTAGCCATTGTTTTAAAAAAAATACTTAGAAGATACTTCTACAGTATCTTTTTTATTATTATTTTGACCAACAAACAATAGATATTATACCTCTTCCTGAGTAAGGAAAATTTCTTTTTGTAGTGGTTTCAGGTATCTCTCCATTAGACAATTTAAATCCTGAAAATGAAAGACCATAGTTTTAGGAGTTTTCAATGGCAAATTTAAAAACTTCAAATTCCAAACATCCCTGCAGGGTTTTCAATCATTTAATATCCGACATTAATGCTGTGTTTGGAACTTTCTTGGACTATCTATTGGCTACTGTCAAATAAATTCTCTATTAGATAAAATATATTGCTTTGATTAGTCATGGAATCCTCATTGTATTTTCTTTATTGGAGCATTAATCTACTTCATAGGGATTGCATAGGTTCTTTTCCCTGCTGCATCCAATTCCTAATTCAATGTTGCATGATATAATGTCCCAAATACGCATCTATATAATTTGAAAAATAATATGACAAATACTGACCTAAAAGTATGCTGGATCATCAACGGTGAAAAGGAAAAGCATCACTATTGAAAACATGACTTAAAAGCCTTAAGTCAGCCTTTACCAATGTAAAACTAAATACTCTGGAAATGCAACTCCCAGAATTTCCAGCCATCTTGGAAGATGTCCAGTTGGGGAAGGCTGAAGCATTTAACTTATTACATTTATCACAGTAAAGTACATTTTGGGAAAATACTAAAGTAGATTTAGAAAGTCAATATTATATTAATATTACCATGATTTATATTTGATGCCTTAAAATTGTCTCCATTAAATAAAGATGATAAAAGCAATATTGGGCAATATTTTTCCAGTTCAAAACTTTATACCTTTTTTTTAAAGGGAATAGTTTATTTATTTATTTATAATTTACTTATAAAATTTATTGGCCACCCATCATACCCACAGAGTAACTTTAGTTTAGGTGGTTAGAGGCTTTGTGTTTACGTTTTTAGGGCAAAATGGATTGCTCACTCTCTCTAATAAAGAGGACTTTGAACTTAAGTGTTAAGGATTTGCCAAGTCACAGGGAAAGATCTGTCATTAGAAATATGTGTTCCTGATATGCATTAAGAAACACAAGTGGTCCTCGCTTAATGACCACTTATTTAGCAACCATTCAAACTTACAGCACTGAATGAGTGGTATTTATGACTGGTCCACATAGTTGCAATTGCAGTGTTCCCATGGTCACATGGTTATCATCTGGGTGCTGGGCAATCAGCTCTCGATTATGACATTACAGCAGGCACGTCAAACTCGCACGGTCATGTGATGTCGCGCGACGTATCGTGACTTTTCTCCCATTGCCGGTAATGGGGTGGGCACGGTTTCAGTATGATGCATCTGGCTTGTGGGCCGGCAGTTTGACATGCCTGCATTACAGCATCCCACGGTCATGTGACTGCCATTTGCAACCTTGACTGACAGCTTCCCACAAGAAAGTCAGTGGGAAACCCGGCAGGAGGTTGCAAAATGTGATGTTGCATTTAATAATGGCCTGGGATTCATTTAAGGAGTACAACTGGAAACTGCAATTTCTAAGTGGCATAGTCATAGGAAATCATACTTTATGACCGTGTCACTTAGCAACAGAAATTTCAGTCCCAATTTCTGCTTTTAAATGAGGAATATCTGTGGTATTTAACTTTTTATTTTATATTTGAGATCTGCAACTTGCTCCCTTTTCTTCTGCAGCTAACTCTACTCCAATACACCCTGATCATCTGGTTATTATAAACACAACTACACTGGATGCATCAAACTTTAAATCCTCTATTAGCAGAGTAAAGGACAGAAAACCTAACAAAGGCTTATTCTAAAGACAGGAAATGGTGAGCTGCTTTTGATTTTTCTACTGCTAACAAAGAGACACTCCGATTGTACTCCAAAGAGCTTTTCCATAGAGCTGATGGCAGCAGAAGAAAGAGAGAACAGGAAAGAGATATAGCAAAGGACTCAATGTTATCTTACTTCTGCTTGAGCTAAAGTTAGAATGACAGGATGGAGAAAGAGAAGAGCAGAGATGATATTCATGAGCATTAGGGTTAACTCTAGTAGAATGCTAGAACGGGTCAGGTTTGTGACTTTAGTCTACACTTCTTGACATGCAAATTAACACATACTATAACTGTGTATTACCTTGACATATGTGCATTCTGTTTCAAGAAGTTCACAAATAACTTTGCGCAGTTTATCCGCATCAGTTAGCTGTCTTGTAATGGATTGCTGAGGTCCAGTAGATTCCTGAAGGGTCACACTGGAGTCGGATGGATTCATTTCATGAAGACAGCGACAAAAAGCAGCAACCTGCTCTGTACTCTACAAAATTAATACAAATGATTATTTCCAGAATTCAATAATGTCATAATTATAATTCTTTTGAATTAGCCATCTTAAAGTACACTTTCCTGTTCCAAGAAATGTAAATTAAAGCAGACTGTGACATACTGTATCAAAACTTTAAAAATATACTGTAAATCAGCAATTGTACGTACATACATACATACATACAAACATACGAACAAGAACTGTTATATAAAACATGTAAAAAGTAGTAGTAAGCAAAATAAAGCGTAGAAAGCAAAAGGAAAGTAATTAAATTTGCTTACATAAACACAACTTATTATATATCTCCACATTTTCTATACTTGCTTCCTGAATGTCTACAGATTGTAATTTGTTCTTTAAACTTCTCACCTCTGTTTTTCTGAGAATCTCTTCAAAACAATCCAAACTACCATTTTTTTCAGTGTTTTCCTTCCTTTCAATCCATTCACTCTTTCCCACTCCTTCATATATTTGTTTTATAAATTTATCCTAATTCCTTCTCTATTTATCATAAATGGCCAAATAATATACTGGTCACTCACATTTGCATTTAATTCTTATTCATTTAGCACTCATTCATTCATGATGGTATACCTTTTTGTTTCACTATTCTCATTTTAAAGAAACCTATTCTTACTGCACACAACTTATTGTTTATGTTTTCCTTGACCCACAATCTCTTGCTTCCACAAAACAAACAGAAGCATATTTTATATGCCACCATTTTGACAAATATCACTTCCTTGCAAAAGATTAAATGCTAAAGAAAATATTATTTTTCTACTTATATTGGTCTTAAAAAGTACAGCATTTGTATTGACAGTGTACACAATCAATTGCAGAGGCATCGTGCTAAAAACCAGGAGACTGTGATTCAAATCCTGCCTAAGGCACAATCCCAACTGATTGATTTTGGTCCACTCACTGTCTCTCAGCCCTTTGAAACAGGCAATGGAACATCATTTCCAAAACTCTTGTGGGGAAAAAAAACCCTGCAGAAAGCTGAAGTTCAGGTAGTCATCAGGAGTCAACACTGACTCAAAGGCACAAAAAGAGTTGGTTTTAAAACAGGGTGCACAATGGACTGAATTAGAAATGCCTCTTTCCTTTTCCAATACCATAATCAGGGCTTTTTTTCAGCCGGAACGCGGCGGAACCGCGTTCCGGCACCTTTTTCCGGGCCGGCCGCACCGGAAATAGCCCCTCCCACACCGGAAATAGTCCCTCCCAAATTTTACTTGCATTCCTGTTCTCTAAAGGGGCGGTCCTAGGGTTTGATGAGGGCGTGGCCAGGTTTGAGTTCCGCCACCTTTTCTCCGAGAAAAAAAGCCCTGACCATAATCAAAACTGTACTCTTACTTGGCTATAAACCAATTCAATGTAAAATTTCTCAAACCACTTATTATTTCAATTATCTGAATGTACCTCAAGCAAATCTTATTCTTTAATAGTCTACGTGATCCGGAATAAATTATATTCCAAGAATAAGGAATCATTACATGTTCAATGAAATTATAATTGTTTCTCAATGTAACTAAACATTCCAATCATATTTATTTTAGATTTAACATATCATATACACTGATATAACAGCAGTACAATGTTAAAGAATTAGAAATAAAGTAATATATCTTTTGGAATACAGTTTAACCAGATGAATAGCCTTTCCCAATCCTGATGCAATCCATAAGTGTCAGGCAATAATTACCATTAACCCCACTAGATAGACCAGATCAGGCTACTTTACAAGAAGGCTACTTTTATTGAAATTGGCTGTAATAACAGAATTTTGCAATTCTGATTGTGCTGTACCTCTTCTTTTTTATTATTCAGCAAGTTAGAGGCATTATTAACAGTTCCTGTTTATCTCCCTCAATGTCAAGCAAGTTCCTTACTTTCTACAGTTACTTTATTGGACATGAAGTCTGCTGACATATTTTAAGGCATTGGGAAAAGTTGCTTTAAACCAGGAAATATCCAAACTCTTCAGCTATAGAATCTTCAGTGGAATTTTAGATCGTTTATCAATCCCCAAACATTTAATTTATGAAAATAATTTAATAAACACTACTTTAACTGATAGTACTATAAACAATAATAATAGTAACACAACAGCAAATTCTTGGAGATTGATATTAACCATTTGGGGAACCCTGTTTTAGACCCTTAAATTATGCATGAACACAATAAAATATAATAATATGCAGGAATTATGTTAAATTTTATAGTTCTGCCATGTAGGTACTGTTAAAGTATAAATTTAACTGCAATTCCAAAGTAGATATTGTAGAATAACCCATACAACCCATATTCTTAAAGCAGATTTAATAAAATCCAGAAATAATTTAACATTCTATATCTCCCATTTAAAAGAACAAGAAAAACCAAATCTGCATTTCAACATATGAGAATACACTAAAAAGTATTCTTCATTTATACAAAGTGTTTCTCAACTGCTAAATCTTGAATTAATTTTCTATTCCTAAATGTATCATTCTCCCTGAGATTACAAGGGATGGTATAATTAAGCCAAGTGATTTATTAATGACCCAACTACTTAAAGGAAGTTGGTCATAAATCATTTACTAAAGTTTTGAATTTTTTTCCTAATTTGCTATTTATGGAGCTTGAAATGAAACCTTATATAAGAAAAACTAAAAATAAAAAAACTAGATTCTTGAGAAATACTCCAAACAGTCCCTATGAAAGACAAGAATTTTTTAAAAAGCATAATAGCACTAGATAATTTAGAAATTGTTCCAATTAATAAATAACTTTAAAAGTAAATAACATCAAAGAAACAACAGTATACTGCCCAAGCTCACACTAATACAACACAGGCATGTCTTAAGAAAAGTTAATATTTCTCTTCTTCTCTTTTAAACTTAAAACATTCAGCATCACTTACCTACAATTGGTTTTCCAAAAAAACAGGGACAAACTGACTGTCTTTTGCAAGACAAAGCATTTCAGCTTTAGCAGCTGGAATGAGTGCTGCAGTTGCTTCAAACTTGAGTTTGTCTTCTGCTAGCTCATTTCCACTATCTAATACTAACTATCAGAAGAAAGGCTACAGGCTTATATGTCAAAGTGTAAGGAAGTCAGAGGCCAAGTGCGTTTTCCTTCCTTTCCACTATGATACAATGGCAACAGTACTAGTGCATTACTTCATAGGTCAGACACAACTCTCACAGGGTAAATTCATTACATTATTGTGTTTTCAAGTAGATATTCCATCTCTCTCACAGGACTGATTTACACATACCAATGAATTTATTTTTGTTGCCATTTGTTCAGGGCTTGGAATATTAGCAAATATTTTTTCTGCCTCATAGTAATATGCAATAATGTGTTCATCCCATATGGCAGCATACATATACAAGATGAGGCAGAAGAATGATGTTTATGTAAGCGATGAATATTGCATAAAGCTACTTGGGGATGCATCACTTCCAAGCATCAGGACTGTGTATAGATTGAGGGCTCAAAGCAAGCAAAACCAAGTCCCAAATGAAAAGACCAGTGGACAAAAAGTGTGAAATTTAAATTAAATTNTTTAATCGGAAACACAGCTGGGAATATTTGGTTTTAATTCGGCTTTTATCAGGGTTTATTCTTTTGTATTTTTGTATTGTGTATTTTCTGTATTTTGGGTATATTATTTGTTTTTAATATGCTGTGAACCGCCCTGAGTCCTATGGGAGAAGGGCGGTATACAAATTAAAATAATAATAATAATAATAATAATAATAATTCTTTTGAATTAGCCATCTTAAAGTACACTTTCCTGTTCCAAGAAACGTAAATTAAAGCAGACTGTGACATACTGTATCAAAACTTAAAAAATATAAATCAGCAATTGTATGTACATACATACATACATACATACAAGCATACGAACAAGAACTGTTATATAAAACATGTAAAAAGTAGTAGTAAGCAAAATAAAACGTAGAAAGCAAAAGGAAAGTAATTAAATTTGCTTACATAAACACAACTTATTATATATCTCCACATTTTCTATACTTGCTTCCTGAATGTCTACAGATTGTAATTTGTTCTTTAAACTTCTCACCTCTGTTTTTCTGAGAATCTCTTCAAAACAATCCAAACTACCATTTTTTTCAGTGTTTTCCTTCCTTTCAGTCCATTCACTCTTTCCCACTCCTTCATATATTTGTTTTATAAATTTATCCTAATTCCTTCTCTATTTATCATAAATGGCCAAATAATATACTGGTCACTCACATTTGCATTTAATTCTTATTCATTTAGCACTCATTCATTCATGATGGTATACCTTCTTGTTTCACTATTTTCATTTTAAAGAAACCTATTCTTACTGCACACAACTTATTGTTTATGTTTTCCTTGGCCCACAATCTCTTGCTCCCACAAAACAAACAGAAGCATATTTTATATGCCACCATTTTGACAAATATCACTTCCTTGCAAAAGATTAAATGCTAAAGAAAATATTATTTTTCTACTTATATTGGTCTTAAAAAGTACAGTGTTTGTATTGACAGTGTACACAATCAATTGCAGAGGCATCGTGCTAAAAACCAGGAGACTGTGATTCAAATCCTGCCTAAGGCACAATCCCAACTGATTGATTTTGGTCCACTCACTGTCTCTCAGCCCTTTGAAACAGGCAATGGCACATCATTTCCAAAACTCTTGTGGAAAAAAAAACCCTGCAGAAAGCTGAAGTTCAGGTAGTCATCAGGAGTCAACACTGACTCAAAGGCACAAAAAGAGTTGGTTTTAAAACAGGGTGCACAATGGACTGAATTAGAAATGCCTCTTTCCTTTTCCAATACCATAATCAAAACTGTACTCTTACTTGACTATAAACCAATTCAATGTAAAATTTCTCAAACCACTTATTATTTCAATTATCTGAATGTACCTCAAGCAAATCTTATTCTTTAATAGTCAATGTGACCCGGAATAATTTACATTCCAAGAATAGGGAATCATTAAATGTTCAATGAAAGCATAAGCTAATTATTGTTTCTCAATGTAACTAAACATTCCAATCATATTTATTTTAGATTTAACATATCATATACACTGATATAACAGCAGTACAATGTTAAAGAATTAGAAATAAAGTAATATATCTTTTGGAATACAGTTTAACCAGATGAATAGCCTTTCCCATCCTGATGCAATCCATAAGTGTCAGGCAATAATTACCATCAACCCCACTAGATAGACCAGATCAGGCTACTTTACAAGAAGGCTACTTTTATTGAAATTGGCTATAATAACAGAATTTTGCAATTCTGATTGTGGTACCTCTTCTTTTTTATTATTCAGCAAGTTAGAGGCATTATTAACAGTTCCTGTTTATCTCCCTCAATGTCAAGCAAGTTCCTTACTTTCTACAGTTAATTTATTGGACTTGAAGTCTGCTGACATATTTTAAGGCATTGGGAAAAGTTGCTTTAAACCAGGAAATATCCAAACTCTTCAGCTATAGAACCTTCAGTGGAATTTTAGATCGTTTATCAATCCCCAAACATTTAATTTATGAAAATAATTTAATAAACACTACTTTAACTGATAGTACTATAAACAATAACAATAGTAACACAACAGCAAATTCTTGGAGATTGATATTAACCATTTGGGGAACCCTGTTTTAGACCCTAAATTATGCATGAACACAATAAAATAGAATAATATGCAGGAATTATGTTAAATTTTATAGTTCTGCTATGTAGGTACTGTTCAAGTATAAATTTAACTGCAATTCCAAAGTAGATATTGTAGAATAACCCATACAACCCATATTCTTAAAGCAGATTTAATAAAATCCAGAAATAATTTAACATTCTATATCTCCCATTTAAAAGAACAAGAAAAACCAAATCTGCATTTCAACATATGAGAATACACTAAAAAGTATTCTTCATTTATACAAAGTGTTTCTCAACTGCTAAATCTTGAATTAATTTTCTATTCCTAAATGTATCATTCTCCCTGAGATTACAAGGGGTGGTATAATTAAGCCAAGTGATTTATTAATGACCCAACTACTTAAAGGAAGTTGGTCATAAATCATTTACTAAAGTTTTGAATTTTTTTCCTAATTTGCTATTTATGGAGCTTGAAATGAAACCTTATATAAGAAAAACTAAAAAGAAAAAAAACTAGATTCTTGAGAAATACTCCAAACAGTCCCTGTGAAAGACAAGAATTTTTAAAAAGCATAATAGCCCTAGATAATTTAGAAATTGTTCCAATTAATAAATAACTTTAAAAGTAAATAACATCAAAGAAACAACAGTATACTGCCCAAGCTCACACTAATACAACACAGGCATGTCTTAAGAAAAGTTAATATTTCTCTTCTTCTCTTTTAAACTTAAAACATTCAGCATCACTTACCTACAATTGGTTTTCCAAAAAACCAGGGACAAACTCACTGTCTTTTGCAAGACAAAGCATTTCAGCTTTAGCAGCTGGAATGAGTGCTGCAGTTGCTTCAAACTTGAGTTTGTCTTCTGCTAGCTCATTTCCACTGTCTAATACTAACTATCAGAAGAAAGGCTACAGGCTTATATGTCAAAGTGTAAGGAAGTCAGAGGCCAAGTGCGTTTTCCTTCCTTTCCACTATGATACAATGGCAAACAGTACTAGTGCATTACTTCATAGGTCAGACGCAACTCTCACAGGGTAAATTCATTACATTATTGTGTTTTCAAGTAGATATTCCATCTCTCTCACAGGACTGATTTACACATACCAATGAATTTATTTTTGTTGCCATTTGTTCAGGGTTTGGAATATTAGCAAATATTTTTTCTGCCTCATAGTAATATGCAATAATGTGTTTATCCCATATGGCAGCATACATATACAAGATGAGGCAGAAGAATGATGTTTATGTAAGCGATGAATATTGCATAAAGCTACTTGGGGATGCATCACTTCCAAGCATCAGGACTGTGTATAGATTGAGGGCTCAAAGCAAGCAAAACCAAGTCCCAAATGAAAAGACCAGTGGACAAAAAGTGTGAAATTTAAATTAAATTNAGAATAAGCTTTAGCCTTGATGAACATTCAACACTAATAACATTCCTAATAAAAATCCACCAAATGTGGCACTTTATAATAAATATCACTACAAAATTAACCCAATGATGGTATTTGTGAAACCAATGCAATAACACTATTGTTATACTATTCCAACTCTTAAAAAATAAGAGTAAACTCTCTGGAAGTAATTGAAGTGTTTAGTTGTAGTCATGCACATGCAAATGCCTATAAAGTCCTTCAAACTGAACCTGCTCCGCCCGCTGAACATGTTGGACATTAGATGAAGTGGGTGTTTTTTGCATGACCTCCACCCCATAGATTAGACAAATGCTTGAACATAGCAAAGAATTCTGTGAAAATTGGATTCATCAGATGAAAAACACCTTTCACATATAATTCAGGGTGTTTTTCTAAAATTGTATTTCATACATATGTACCTTTAGAAGAATTTCAAGATAAGAAACTTCACAGTAAGATATTAGATAAGAAAATTAAATTGGCAAGCTCATATGCTAATGGTCAGCAATTAGAAATCCATTTGTTCAGTCACTTTAATATAATTGTGTTCTGCTTCAGTCAAAGGTAGATGGCCCTGAAATAACTTTCCAATTAGTTGTTTCCATGAAAACTGTTGTACAACTTTACATACACACAGGCACAGACACACATCCCATATATTAAAAATGGAGGCATGCGTACAGATGTGTGTAAAATTGTGCCATTCAAAGAAGCAGTGATACACTAAAAAGGGGCAACATCAATATTTGAAACTCATGGCAGTTGTTAGGACTTCATAGCTCTTGCACTTATTATGGGCAAGACAGAAACATTTGGATTTAGCAGGTGATAATGAACTATAATGAAGGCACTAATTGGTTTTATTTCATATTAGTTGTAAACAGGGGAAAAAACAACAATATTCTCCTGAAAGCAATACTCTAATCACAGTCTTGTGAATCGGTATTACAAGTTTGAGCCAGCAGAGATTTTGCTATTTACAATGTGAAAATGAAAGTTTCACACCTTGCTTGTTTTATCACTCTCATCAGAGGATTCCAAGATGTTCACTTCTGCCTCTTCTAGAGATATCTCAACACAGTTGTCTTGATCATTGCTGAGCAAGGGTCCTGCCAGGATGCAAAACAAGGGTGAAATAATGGGATTGGTAACATTTCAGTACCAACACAAAAAATCAGTTTATAAGCAAAAAAAGAAAGAAAAAGAAAAGAAAAATCTCATTTTCTCTTCTCTAATGTTGGCAAGACTCTTTTAAAAATGGATTATTTTTTTTACTGGATCATAGCATCATGTAAATAGGATAGTTTCAGATCAAAATAAAACTGCCAGATATATTTTACCATACAGAATTGGATATCTGGTATATTTCTCTGTCTGTCTGTCTGTCTGTCTGTCTGTCTGTCTGTCTGTCTGTCTGTCTGTCTGTCTCTCTCTCTCTCTCTCTCTCTCTGTGTGTGTGTGTGTGTGTGTGTGTGTGTGTGTGTGTGTGTACAAACAAATCCTAGGGATCAAACTTCTTGGAATATATGACAAAACTAGTTTCTAAACTCTGAAGAATTAAAATAAAAAAATGTGTCTACTTATCCTAGAACCACTATTGACATATTTATATTATTAGACCATGATGCCTATTATGAATACGGGAATGCTTTTGAAAGTAGATCTGAGTAAGGTTATATAGGTAGATCTGAGCAGAGATGCATTTTTACTTAGTTGTATATTCATTTCATCTATTTACATTATTCCAATCCTGAGATATCAAAATACTCAGCTTTCAATAATGGACTCCTTTCTTAAAAAAAAAAAAAAGTTTAAAGCATCTACAAAAATAGCTAAAACAATGTCATGTATCCTAGTTGTAATAGCTTCATTTGATATGGAGAAGTGACTTTAAGTTAAGTCAATATTAACTTTCTTAGCTGATGCTAATGAACTTTTTATAGCTATCTGCACTTTCTTTCCTGTTACACAAAAAATATACCATACAGTAATCTGCTTCCTGCAACAGAGACATTATTCCCCCAAAATGAGCTATTTTTAATCTTGAATTATAAAGAACAACTAGTATTGCCTTCCATTCTTAAAAACATAAATTCTTTACTTCAATTATTCACTAGCAATGATTAATGCTATTATTTCAAAATGCAAGCTATTCATGCAATTTCTACCAACTGTAGTGGAACACTTGCCCAATTATGTTATATTTATTTTGTATCTGTGGTTCATTTTTATTTATCTGTTCATGCTATAGAAGATGTAGCATATACTTCAGACTATGAGCTTTCTTGCTTGTCATTAAAATATAAATTATCTTTGGATTATATTAAAGGAATGAGGACTGGGTGAGGAGAATTGACAATGATGAAAAATTAGATAAAATAGTGCCAAGTGAAGATGGCAAACATAGGTCTTCTAATGTTTTACCTTCTAATATTAATTATAGATACAAGCCTCAATAGTTAGTCTTTTCATAAAATAAAAATATTGTCTGTGGTACTATAAGCTGAAAACGTTACATTGTGTTAGGGTTGATCTGGGCTACAGAATTTCAGAGAAGATTCTTTATAGCAAATGTTATTAGTATAGTGAGCCATGTTCTTGGAAAGCAATTGAGACTTAAAGATATTAATGTTTGGTTAAAACCTATCCCCCAAATTGAAAAACATAGGATTTACCAATCTTGGATTGTTGTATAAAAAGTGTTTATGTACTCATGGAAGAATATGAATATTACAAATCTAAGACTTTGGTGACTGAACTTGTCAATTCTCATCCTTCAAATTAGTGAATTCTCATCCTTCAAATTTTGAACCGAAAGAGAGGCAAGACTGGGCAACATGGTCTAGATTTAATTCACCGTTGAAACTATAATAAAATATGTAATATATGTTTTCTTCTTTAAAGTAAGTGTGCTTATGTATGTATGTGTGTATATAGGTACAAGTACATTAAACAAGTACATTAAAAACACGCCCATATCTAAACTAAATTTCAGGTAGCCCAAATAAGGCAGTGAGATTGCTTAGTCCAATTCAAAATAAGTTTAACTTTCCAAGTCTTGAAGACTTGCAGCCAGGTTATTTGAATGAGTTCCTTCTCCCCAAGGAAATTTCTCTGAAGATTTCTCCAATTTATCTTATCAGACAAAGCAAGGCAAATGGCTTCAATAGAATAGTCCTTTCAGTGTGGAAGAATCTCTCAAAAACATGTACATTACTAGAATTTATTATTTTTCCCACATCAAAAATATGGTAAAGGAAGATGAATAGCACAAGAATAAGTGATAGAAAAAGTCTGGCTTCCCGAAAAAACCTACCCATGATGGTGTGTGTTCTGTGGTCATAGGACCGACAGTACGTTTGGTCTCTACAAGGAGTATATTTCACAGTTGTTTGGCTTCACCAAAGGCATAACTAGTGAATTCTGTTGCTAAGATAATACATGCTATTCACATTTAGACATTGTGTTTTTTTTAAAAAAGACCATTTTTATCCATACGCTTGCAACGTCCTCTTAGTGTGTTATATAGCACAAGTACACTCAGAATTTATGCTGCCAAACTGTTCTGAACCCAAGTGCTTTATTGCTATGCAACAAAGGTATGCAACCTGCTGTCATTCAAACATGAGGGACCCTTTGTAGCTTTAAATGTTTTTGCCCCTCAATAAAAAGTTCTATGCATTGTATATTCTGTGAATACAAAGGGACTTGCTTCCCAAGTTGTATAAAAGGCCTATTTTGAAGGCCTATTTTCACTGCATTGTTAATAACCTCCTTTTAGCTTTGTTTTGTTATTGTCAAGTATACTTAGTGTAACAAATAATACCTACAGTGAATGAATTTCCATATAGGTCAGTACTGACATCTTGTGGCCAAATATATTTTGATGTATGTTTTTGTTGATATATATGAGACAGAGACCAAGCAGCAGTTTCCTAAATTTCTATATTTTATCAAGTTTCTTTAGATATAGATATAGAACAAAAATAACTGTGTAAAAGGTAAAATGTCCTCAAGTCAAGATTGATTCCTAGTGACTTCCATATCCATGTTGAATTGCCTTTGCTGTCTTCTGTGTCTCAGGTACAAAATAGGTGAGACCTTCTTAGTTTTTCAAGATTGCTAGGTGCTGCCACCTAGCTGGGAGATAGATATACAGTTATCCACCTATATTTTTATTATTTTATTTTATAAATATGGCCACTTCTGTTTTCAAAACCACAAGCTTTTTCTTTTCATACTTCTTTTACAGACATACTCCACATTTTTACAATCATTTATATGTTGTATAATTAAATTATTTTTAATTATGCAGAAAAATTCCCCACAAATACTTTTTGTTATACTCTTCGCCATCCAATTGTGAATATCTATATACATGAAGGAGGAACCTCTTCAAAGAAAAGAATTTAAAATTTTGAATCTGTTCTTAACATTCTGTAGTTCAGCATATAAACAGAAAGTCCCTGTTCTTTTTAATCCAGCACTACAATTGATTATCCTGAAACAACTAATATCATATATGACAGATCACTGTAGTTACTTCCAACTGCAGATGCCTCATTTTGAACTACTAAATAATACTGATATCTAGCACTTTTACATGGTGAAACAACAAGCATAACCTGGAATTTGCTTACACAAAGGTCTAGAGTACTTTTTAATCTTAAGTGGTTACATACAGCATGCTTCAGTAGAGAAAGATCCTAATGTAGGGTAATCTCATGGCAATAAATATGAGTACCTTGGGCACTGCATACAGATTTTAATGGACTGTCAGTCAAGTCAAAAGAACCATCTGCCCGCCGAGGTGGTAAGTGCATTCGATTCTGCCCTGCCTCTCTCTCAGGATACGTCTGTACAATAAGGCACAGAGAAGGCTGAACAAGAACATCTCTTAGCATGGCTGAGTTCAGGTTTTCAGCAGCCTTCTTATTAATTTCAACTATTTCATCACCTGCTTTCAGACCTGAAAAGGAAAAGGGACATATTAAAGCTCAACAAGGGTTGCTCTGTACCTAAATGTTAGGATATTTAATTTCCTTAAGCCATAGACAACAAAGAACAAATCCTTTCATTTCCTGTACATTCTGTATTTTGGGATAAAAAGCATTTTACTGATCATTAATGAAACAGTTCCAGACAATATTCACAGATGCATTCTACTATACTTATCTAGTCCAATAGTACCTGAATCGCAGTAAACCTTGGGATATATGACAGCCAAATACTAAGCACAGTTTGTAAAGAAGTCACTGCAGCTATTCTATTCCTATACAAATACTTTGAAATTATAGAAGCACGGTGTTTCTGGGACTTAAATGATGCTAGAGATGGTCTTTGCTATGGAGATTCAAGTTCTAGCACTGAGTGGTGGGGTGAACTCCCATCACTTGCCTCAGCTTCTGCCCACCTAGCAGTTCAAAGGCATGTTATATGAGAGTAGATAAATAGGTACCATTTGCAAGGCGACTTTAGTGAATAAGTATTCAACATTTTCCACATGTAGGGATATAGGGTGAATAAATGAGGGGAGAGTATATAGTTTGGCCTCACTCTTTTTGGAGTCAGTCTATTTCACAGATTTATTTATCCCACTCCCATACACAATTGTTCATCACTCTAGGAATGTTAAATTGCATAGGTCTGGATAGAGAATTTGTAAGATTATATATTGTAATGTTTGACCAGAAACTCAGCAACTTCATGTACATAACTCAGAATTCAATGAACCGTAGCTTTGTTACCTGTTAAATTAGGAAAGATGTTTAAAGATATAATAAATTTAGGATGGTGAATTTTCAATGGCAAAAAAGGTATACACTAACCGGTTATTATATATACTGTAATATCTAAAAGATGATGAATAGATATATAATTTTAAAAGAATTGCTGTTTCTTATAGAGATTCACAAATTATTTTTACACAGTACAAGAGAAGAATACCAGAGGAGGAAAATCCTTGAATGCTGAAGATATTTTAGAGAAGAACATATGACACAAGTTCTAGCATCATACCTTTTTTAAAAGCCAGACCTGTTTCTTTGACACTATTGACATGGAGACGACGAATCCCTTCTTCTTCTATAGAGGATAGAGAAAAACCTGTTAAAATATAAACAAAATAAGAATATTTGTTAATATTTTAAGCAACACATTTAAAATGAAGCATTTGATTCTCTGCAAGCAAACTATTTTTATTTGCTGATTCCCACACAAAAATGAAAAAGGAAAAAACTTATTCAAGTAATAACAGAATAGCACAATAAATGATTATTAGTTATACAACCATTTCTTCAGATTATAACACTTCTCCCAGCAGTAATGTTTATTTGCTTGAATGTTATGGTTCTGTTCTTCAGATTTTGCATACATACAAAACACATATATGTTGAGAAAATTGGATAGGTTAAATAGCATGTATACTCACTTGCAGTCAGATGTGTATACTACTATATAACAAATGCTGTAAAATAGGACTCAGATGTATTTTTTTTAATTAATGACACAAAAAATTCAAGTTTATGTAGAATCTTGGAAACAATAGCATGCAAATTGGTCGCCTTTGGTTTTAAAAGTTCACCATTAAAATCTGGCAGTCATCAGGAAAATCAACAATATGTATAAGAGAAAAACAGCTTTATTATATTGGATGCTAGTTTGGAGATTTTGGTATAAAAATATTTATAGTATAAAATGGAGAAACAGATATTAAAGTGAATCACTCATGGGATCATCAATCTCAGGATTCATAGCAGAGGCTGTGATGCAATATCTAGAAGCTATACATACAATTCAAAGTATGGGTCCATTATGTAGATGACACCTTCATCCAGTGGTGGGATTCAAATATGTGAACAACCGGTTCTCTGTGTGGATGCCACTTCCGGAAGTCCATTCTGGGCCTGGGCAACAGAAAATTAGCTGCCGAAGTGGTGCAAACCGGCTGAATCCCACCACTGCCTTCATTGTAATAAAAAAGGAACAATTACAACAGGCACGTGAGACAATGAACAAAATCTTCCAAGGAATAACATTGACAAGAGAAGATGAAAAAGAGCATACTACTCTTCCTGGATATCCTCACCAGAACAGGAAATGATGGCAAATTAGAAACCCACGTCTATCAGAAAATAACACAAAGCAACCTAGTGCTCAGCCACCAAGCAACAACCCAACTTCTCACAAGAGAAGCTATGAAAGAACATTATTCAGATGAGTCCAAACACACTGCAGCAACCCAGTGTGCCAGAAACAAAAAACAGACCTATAAAACATATTCCAACAAAATAGATACCAACACAACTTTATCAAAAAGTGCATAGCCACATAATCTGCTTTAACATAACCAATACAACCTATGAAAAGGATAACACACCCATGAATCAAAAGGATTTCAGAAATAACCAAGAGACTACAACTACACGGCATCACTGTAGCACACAGCCAACTAAATTCCTCTAAAAGATCTTAAGCAAACCAAAAATCCTAAGGAAAAAAAAATCAAGAATCATTTTCAGTTTACAATGCAAGGACACTGTGACTGAAGACAAAGGAAGGAATTGGCCAGAAATATTATCTATATTATTCTACAGTAATATAACCTGAATTAGGCCTGTCATTGACCATCTGCTGTTTTATAAAAGTGTGCTGGAAACTTAATTGCCTTTATTAAAGATGTCATTGATAGCATCATTATTTTCAAAGCTATAGTAGTGATTCGTGTGCAGGATGAAGCTTTTCCTGGATTGTTAAATGAGATTATTCTTTCAGACAGACTATAAAGAGGGTGAAGTGTTTCCCTTCAAGAAAACATGATGCAAACAAAATTTCATTTTTTTTTAAATTAAGAATGTACAATGAATTCTCTGAACATTGTTGTAAGGTCTGGAGTCAGCTATGTGTGAGCTGGGCAGCTATATAAATTTAATAAATAAATGAATAAAATAACCTAAATTATGCCTAAATATGCACCAAGCCATGACAAAATAGAGGAAAGAATGTTTTGGAGCTGACTTTGTGCAAAAACAAGTGGGATTCCTCAGAACCACATGATGTTGATAAAGAAATACAGCTAGAGGTCAATAACCCTAACTCTTTGCCAGCTACAAAGGATATCATCTTGAAAGAATAAATGGTTAATGGTCCAAAAGAAATCTTTAATAAATTGATATCTTTTTCTTAAGGAACTTCCAAAGAAAGGTCAACTAGTGAAAAAATGTTCTTCTTAGCATTTGAAAATGCTGCTTAGAGCTGCCACATGACATTTAAGAATGGAGAATATCCTGCTATATGATTGTACTTGTGAAAAGTTTATGGAATAATAGTTGACATAATTCTAGTGATGAAGCTGCACAGGAAGCAAAGACAATTTTTGGCTGCTTCAAGTGACATCAAGTATCAAATCATTGAAAGTAGTTATTCCATTTCACTCTGCTTTGATCAGCTGCCACCTTAAGTGCTACAATTTGGGACAGATTCAGAACAACAAGTTCAGGCTCAGAGAACAACAAGGATGATGGGACTAGATATGAGGTCTCATAGAGAGAGACTGAAGGAGTTGAGTTAGTTTAATTTTGAGAAATGCTGGGTAAGATGGAATATAACACTCTTTTCTAATACTTGAAAATATATCACACCAAAAAATATCAAGACCTTCACGCACTCAAGTGCACAACAGGAATAGTAAATTGAAGTTAGCCAGACTGAAAAAAAATGTATGAAAAGGTTTCTTGAAAAGTGTTAAAAACTCCTGAAAGTTTGACAGTAAAATCAATTATAAAGAGAGAATGTGAATTAACCTTCACTAACTGGCTGAACAGCAATCTTTTGGGAATGCTTTAATTTGGAAGACCATAGGGAATGAACTCAGTGGCCTTTTATAATTTTATGAAAAGCATCAATGTCAATAAACATAAATGCATATATCTACATACAGTAGCAGCAGCTTTACCCTTTCAATGGAAAAGTACGGGTTTTTTTTTTTTAATATTCCTTTCAAATAGAGATGGGCAGCCTAGAACTTTCAGGCTTCATGCAGTCTAGAAGCATCGTGTTTTTCTCTCCATGAACCCCAATTTTGTGCTACTGAAATTGATAATAAATGCTAAAAAATAGGGGTATGATTTTTCTGACAAATAGTAGTGAAAAATAAAACACAATAGGTGTGTTGGATTTCCAAGAGGCTTAACAAACTTAACAAACATATATTATTGGCATTTGAAAGAAGCATTTAGATACATTTAGAATTAAGGGAAAACTTCCTGACAGTGTGGATAATTAACCAGTGGAACAGCTTGCCTCCAGAAATCGTGGGCGCTCCATTACTGGAGATTTTCAAGAAGAGATTTCCAAGATTTTTAAGAAGACAGTCACTTGTCTGAGATGGTACAGGTTCTCCTGCTTGAGCAGGGGGCTGGACTAGAAGACCTCCAAGGTCCCTTCCAATTCTATTCTATTCTATTCTATTCTATTCTATTCTATTCTATTCTATTCTATTCTATTCTATTCTATTCACTGTATTTGTAATTTAATAGTGTACTGTATGTCAATATATGGAGATTTACCAAGGTATTGTGACCACCATATTGTATTATGCACTTTAAGCATATACAATATGTTTTGTGCTCACTATTTCATCAAATTTCCCAAGTGAGAAGTTGCTACTGCAAATTTAAATTGTTCTGTTTTAAATTTGGAGCATTTGGAAATCTTTCGAGTATTTTGAACTTGGATGACCTTTAATATGAGTAAGAAGCACCTCACAAATCCTTGAAACAACTCATTTTGTAATCAAAGCAGCAGCTTAATATTCAATATGGTTTTTGTGTGAAATTTCACATGTTCAAATGTTGCAAAATACAATGCTTTTCATACCTTTACTGCATTTATACCATCATAAGGCAAGGGAAAGTATCTAATACACGGAAGCATCTATTAATATGTTACTCTGCAAACTCAATGTCAAAATTTAGCAATAAATATTCATCATATAAGCCTCTACCTTCAAATGAATCCAGCATTGCTGGGTTACACCCAGATCTCAATGTTTTGCCCCACAGCTGTATAATAAGCTGTTTAGGGATTTTAAAATACTAAATATTAAATCACAGCACTCTAGATAAATGCTACAGATGTGAAGGGTTTGCTCACTGAAGTAGATTGGAAACACAATACAATAACATAGGATTTTATTTTATTATTTAATTCAAAGACTATTATTTTTAGATAGTAGAAAAACTTGAAGATACACTGCACCCAAACCAACAGGGTAGTTTTGAAAAGATATTGCAAGTACACATCAAATAACAATTCTAAATATGAAATTGTTACATTTTCTGAAAGTTTCAGCATTGAAGATTAATGTCTTTATACTTAGCAGTGCACAATTTTATCCCCTAGCTTCAGTGTGAAAAGTTACTTTCTTTCTCCCCTGAAAAGTGGATTATTTTTCAGCGGCGCCCCTTTCTGTATTTTATAAATGGAAAGATGGCCAGTAGTATCACAGTTAGCCACCTAAAATGATTGTCCTCAGATCCGGCTACAGACTAGATTCAATAAGGCTTTTAAAGATTTCAGCTTCATAATTCGCAACCCCCATTACCTGTTCAGAATGCCATGGCTTGCAATCAACACCTCTAGAAGATACTAGACAGAAGAAAGCTGCTGTTGTGAATATTAAAGTATTTTATGATACATGTGTAAGGGAAAACTTGATATACAAATGTATACAAATATAAACTCACCATAGTTATCCAATGTGTCAGATTTTTCAAGCTGAATTTGCTGTATAATTTTCTCACAGATTTCAATTTCTTTATATAACTGAAAAGCCAACACATTTTTAAAAAGAGTTAGTTACANGCAGACTGGGTGGGATAAAAAGTTCAATCAATCAATTCCAACTTTGCAAGATCTTTTTTTTCCCGCGAGAAGTTGAAATTGATTGATTTATTGAACCTTTTTTTTTCCACATGGCGGCAGAGGCCTAAAGCGAAAAGGGTTTTATAAAACCCAGCTGAAGGCCTAGGACTGGGGCGACGACACGCGTGCCCACAGACAGGGCTCTGAGTGCCGCCTCTGGCACCCGTGCCATAGGTTTGCCACCACTGTTCTAGGGATCAGTATATATGTATTTCCCAGTCACATTACTTCAGAGCACTGTAAGATTATAAAATGTAAATCTAACAATATTTTGAAGCATTTCCTCCTACTTTAATTTATGCTCCCTAATGCAAGATATATTTTTTCTTCATCTTTAATGTCTACTTTCACTTCTTCCTTCCATCAATATCTATTTATTTTCCTCCTTTTCATACAATATAAGCTAAGATATTAGTGAATAAGAGTGACAGTAATGTCAGCATGTCCTAAAATATCTTATTTCTTAAATCTAATGTCATGTATTAAAACTACAATTCTCCAAATTCCTAAGCAAACAGAGGTGTTGCCTTAGCTGGGAATTCTGAGATATTATAGCCCCAATACATCTGAAGGGCTTAGTTTTCCTTATTATTATAAGCAAGGGGACTTGAATTCAAATCCTATGCTCACTAGTGATATTAGCTCAGCTATAAACACTCAGCCTATCTACTTCTGTGAACTCTCTGAAGGATGGGACAATATACTAAAAGTAAGGATGTTCCTTTATTCCACTATACACAAGCTCAATTTATCTTGCTCTATATTTAGAGTTCTTAATATCAAAAGGAGACAAGATATGGTAGCAGCAATCTCTTTTTTTTTCCTAAGTTCTATTTGAAATAATATATAGGAGATCTATATAAGTTCAACATTACCAATTCATAAATATCTTCTTCTGCCTTTGGTATGTAACATTCCATTTGGTTTCCTATAAAGAACTTGAGACGCAGATAGTGAGCTGAGTAATCCAACTGATGTGCCTGAAAGAAAAAAGAAAAAAAATGTCCATATCAATAAACATTTTCTTTTAGTGAAATGCATCTCTTAATGGAGGGAAAAGTTTGCTCTAGTTAAAAGGAAAAGTTTAAAATTATTGTCTAAACAGCCCAAGAAAAATACTTTATTGATGCTCAAAAGAGAACTGGTCACATTTGACTCCCTAATTTGAAAAGACAATAACATTATTCTGAACGGAAACATCACCAAACATCAGATCTGGGTGGAAATACATGTACTAAACATAATACTAAAATTAACCAGTTTCTTTCTCTTATTTCCCAATAAAAACCTCATGTTACGTATAATACAACCTAGTTTGCTACTAAATGTATCCATTGTCTCTAAATAGGTCATAAAATATATTATATCTGAGTATAAAGGGGAACATTAGTAACATAAATTCTATTTATTATGAAAACATTATTCTGAAACAAACCATACTTGATGAAATCCCAAAAAATTTTCTCATCTAAAATAATTTATATAAATAAAAATTCATTAGTTATAATTAGCCATAGGTTATGGTACTTTCAAGTTAATTGCCCATTATTGATTAAAGTAGACTAAAAATAGAGTTGATCAATGATGACCATAGGTGCCATTCCAAAGTTATTTCTTAACGGGCTGAAATAATTACAAAACCAAATCAAACAAGTGTATTTTCTTCTCATCGAAAACATTATGAGCCTAAATCTGCTATAATGTTCATTTAGCCAATTATATCAGCCAATGTCCTTATTATTGTACCACTAACTTGCATATTTCTCTTTCTTACTCTTGAATGCCCTCAAACATTCTTTCCTTCAAATGAAAAAATACAAATCCTTTCTTTAAAGAATTGCCCACTGTGATTAGCTGAAGACATGTGTGTTCTCCTGCCCTTTCCCAGACAGCAACCCCATATAATAATGCAATAGGAGGTTCTGTGCTAAACAAAAAAAAAGCCAATCTTATTTTTCTTCTGGAATTAAAGGCCCAAGAGGCATAACCAAGGGTAGCACTGCCATATTCTTGCTGAGATCAAAAACCACATAACAGGAGCTGCAAGGCTGCATTTCAATATCTTGGAATTAAAAGGATGTTTGATAACTTACACACACACATTTTTCGTTTTCTTGATTGGGCACAAAGAAAATGACAGTGTCTTGGATAAAAAAAAGCTGGGGAAATTAGGACTGCTATTCACCCACACTCCTAAAGACAATAGTTATTCACATTAAGTAGGCCTGCACAAATTCTATTCTGAATCACACAAATTAACAGTAAACAACAACAACAACAGGAGTCTTGTAGCATTTTTCTAACAAGTTTTAGTAAAAGGTTGCAAGTCATGAAAACCTATGCTTTTAGTATTTTGTTAGTTAGAGAAGGTGTACTAGACTCCTATTTCTATACTACCATAGATTAACACAGCACTTGTCCTACAATGTTTTCTAATTAATAGTATCTTATGGCATGAGTTCCAGTGTGGCTTATTACATTTATACAAAACAGAAGATATTGTCTTGCCCAGAAGTGCTCATTGATTACAATCTTCCTTTGTAATCAATTCAGAGAATTCTAGGCTATATTCCATTATGATTGCAAGCACAATGGGAAGCCTCTGTATCTTCTGGAATGCAGCACCCACCCAAGACAGATGAAGAAGATTTCTTCCTCTAACTATAAAAAAATCATATTTCCTCTATGTACTGAGCCTGAAATTTGTTCTTTGCTTTGTAAACCTCTACAGTAGACTGAAGAAAGAAAGCCATCTCATTGTGTGCAAGCAAAAGTTCATATGTGCAATATCAAAAGTTATCTTCTGCTTTATTGTTCTTAATGTCCATCCCTTCCAAAATAAATCCAGATAAATTCAAGCTACCAATAAGAAAGCAGATTAGATACAACATGTATTGATGAAGACATTGTTTAGAAACCTGAATATTTCTCAAATGCATTAAAACAGAACTTCAGAGGCCAGGACAAGAACAAAGAAATAAAACCACATGAATGGAATTGATGACCTCCCAATAGTCTTTTGGGAGTTACTGATCCATGGGAAGCTTGTGTACGTTCTGCACCTCATTTAACTTCTAAATGCAGAAACCAAAAAGACGTGGCAGGAAAATTCAGTCTAAAGTGAATAGACTAATTAATATCTTGGGAACATCATACTAAATACTGATATCTATCATAAAAGGCTGATTTTGGACATAAAAGGCAGGTTTTGGACATCTTCTTATTGGAGGGTGGGGAATTTATAGATCACTTTGTATGAGGGAGACATATGGGAAGAAAGTTAAGGTATTTCTTTTCCCTAACACTTCAAACTTTAGGACTGATATTATTAACATGGAATAGTCTCTTTTTTTTTATCTTAAAACAGTAGACTTGTTATTAGTGGTTACTTGGACAGGATTAAACTGCTTTCCAATTATTGAATTCACACATCAAGCTAAGCTCATGATTTGTTTAAACTTCATCTATAGAATACCACAATCAGCTGGGTTCTCACAAGACAATAACTTAGCATGACATAAAAACCAGATCAGAGTGACAGATCCATTTAACTCTGCATTCTCTGGACTGAATAGTGGTAGGTTCAATTTTAGACAGTAACCTTATCCACATCTGCTTGGAAATAAGAGGGGTGGAATCCACTTTTTTTAATATAAAACTACATGGTGTTAAATTGAGTATTGGGTCTCCTTTTGTACATACCATCAAAATCAAAGCATATTTATGGCTAGCAGTAATTACAGTCCTGAACATTTAGCAAAGGTTAGAATTTTCATCTTTAGTTCCCATGATCCAGGTAAAAATTACAATATGGGAGTCTTTACAACATCTAGAGCATGAAGAAGCTATATGAACTGTAGAGCGTGAAATGTTTACTATACCAGAACTCGACTGATTCTCAGATGGCAGATGGCAAACTGATGTGAAATGATGTGGTTCAGAGAATTAAAGGAAAAAGAATGAGCTGAATGCAAGAGACAGAAGAGAAAGATTCATTAGTAGATGTTACAGGGAAGACAGAACCATCAGCATCTTCATACGTAGATAATTCAGAAAGAAAGAGACAGATACATAGTGTGAATCACAAACCAGTTTAGCCAAAGTGAATTCATTTAAAACAATTTAACACTGGTCTCATACAGTATAAACTATGTGCTTACATTTTACATACTGTAAACTAAAGAAGGGGAAAAACTTCTCATGTTCTATCTATGCTATGTATACAAGTTATTACCTGTACAAAATTACTATCTATATAAACGTTCTAAAATAAAATTATTGCTAAGATCACTGTTAAATGTTTTCTATTGTGTACATTTTTAAAAAAATATCATTTTATTTTTATAAATAAGTGTTAATGAAATATTTTTCTTCAAGAATATCCATTTATAGAAATCTATTTACTAAATGATATATGATTTAACTAAATTAGAACCTTTTCACACAATACATGCAAGTCTCCCTTAAGATATAATTTAAATACAGAAAATACAGAATATCATGTAACTTCAAACAGTTGCTGAACAAGAGGTTGTTGACCGAAGACTACCTGCATGCAGACATTATTAATATGAATGTCTCACACAATCAAGGTTTTAGCATTTTATTTAAATGGGTAATACCCTGCATGCAAAGAGATAAATTACAGGAAGCTGTGAAATGCAAGCATATCAGAGCAGCTATTTTCTCCAATATTTATCACCTTTAGAAATGTTTTCCACTAAATCATCTAAATTCAGATTATACTGACACTGAATTTAATTGGATTAAAGCTAGTTAGAAATATAATAGAGTATAATGAATTACAGCTGAAGCATTTCTCCCATTCCTATCTTTCAACAATATATTAGGAAGGAAAGCAGATTTCAGTATGATTTTCAAACTTAAAATCTTCAAGTGTACACTTTCCATGCAGGATTTATTAAAATACAGATAATTTAAAAATGGAAAATGCCCTGCTTTATTTTTTATCCAATGTATTTGCATATAAGGGAAACATTCACAGAACTGCTGGCTTTAGTGGAAATGCTTTGAAATTGGAGCCATCTATCAATAATTTCTTATCATTTCAAATAATACCATTTGAATTACCAATTGGATACCAATTCTATAAAGTTCCCCCCACACAAACACACAATTGTATTTATTTATGTATAATTTATTGCTTTACCTTGCAAATCATTTCCAGGACATCTCTTGCTGTGTCTCCTGGGTGGATGACAGTCAAAGCCGACTGGTTATTTGGCAGGCAATACCATGATGGTGTAAAATACTCATGGACCCAGATGTCAGAGTCAGGATTATGAGGATGGACAGTAGTGAGGGCTACTTCTTTTTCTCTCTGAAAAAAGAATGAAAAAAAATTCTGATTAAATGTAACTCAGCTTTTCCAATTAAGAACAAGCTTATTAAGGTAGAGTTATTTTCTATCAAATGAAATTATAAAATCGAATGCATTTTATTACACATGGGGAATTAGTCACCTGATGCTGAATAGAAAAACCTAAGGACTGTCTGCAGATCCTCCAGGTGTCAGTTTTCTTAGCAATTTCCCAACATTTGGGGAAAGGATCACTTACTTTGAGGGAACAATTTCATACGTGCATTGGATTCCCAATTTCTTGCATGTGTTGGAGCTGTGCCCCTGAAGTTAAAGCTAACATTTTCTTGTATTAATACGATAGAAATAAATCAAGGTGATAAATTCACTATGGAATTGGCTGATTTAGAATTACGAATGCCCTGTGGCAAACTATAGCATTCATATCAAATGTTTGCTGCTTTTGTAAGTTTAAACTAGACCCTGAGGTTACCATTTCTATCAAGTGATGGATGTATGGAATTCCCATTAGTTTTAAATGGTATCACACTGTTAAATCCCATTTGCTCAATTAAAAATATGCCCACTGGCCCTAAGTAATAATGTTTCAAAATCTAGTTTCAGTTATGTACATACAATACAAAAAAGATAAAACAGAACTGTATTTACCAAAAATGAAGTCTCACTAAACTATACATACTAATCAACTATAGAGAAAAATTAATTAGCTGAGGTCTCTATGAAGCTTCTTCAATATGAAATGGAAATATTCCATTTATGTTTAGACTTTATGATTGCATATCATATTACCTGATATTTTTCTGGAAAAAGTGTTATATGTTCAACTATATTTAATGTTAGCATTGAAAAATTCAGTATTGCCCTATTTAAGAAAGGAAAGAGGGGAGAGTTTGGAAAAATAAAAAATAAAATTTAAATATAAATTTAAAAAAAAAGAAAGGAAAAGTATATTACTGGTGCACAAACAGACATAAACACACATGTAATGGCACAGATAGAAAGTTGATAAATGTTCTGTTGTGTGCAGTAGGAAAAGTAAATGCAATGAGGCTCTTAACATGAAGGAACACAAGTGGAAATCAGAAGTGTCCAGGCAGCAAAGTAATATGTGAAGGAGAATTATATTTGCTATTGATGAAAGTCTCTGCATTTGGCTTTGCATGCATATCATTAATAATATAGTTTATTAATAAGGAATAGAGCCCTAGTGACTGTAATATGGTATTTTTTTCTTCTGAATTCTCTAGAAAATACTACAAAAATTGGTCCTTTCTGGTAGCTGTGAGGCTGAGGGGTTTTTTATATAAAATAAAAATAGTGCAGTATAAAAGCTCTTCACCGTTTAGAAAAGGTCTGGAAAAGTACCAAAGCATGTTGGATAAATGATGATATATACCATGATGAAGAAAAATATTTTGACAACACAAGTCAGTTCAACAAAAAGTAAAATCAACCTTATAAAATGAAGGTATATATTTATCCAGAGAGGAGAAAGCTGATCAGCATAATACTTTGTCTCAAAAACAGATGTTCACCGGAACACAAGGAGAATGCGAGGTGAAATGAGAACTTAAGCACATGTCCAGTCTTGTCTGTTTTAGGTCAGTTTCCATAATATTCAGGCCATACACATGAAGGAAAAGTGGACTCGACTCTTTTGAATGCAAATACAATTGCCACTATAAATGAGCTTGAGAGCGGAGAGCTGTATTCTTGTTTAAGTGTACACCCATTTCAGCTTCACTTCAGGGTCCTTTCTGAACATGTGAATGCAGGAGAGGAGTGGGAACAGGACTGCAAAACCAGTCCATTTTCTATCCACATATTCAGTAAAAAGTCAAAATGGGACATAAAGTTCCCCTATGTTAGTTAAATGCTTGTTAAATCTAAACTGAGATCTGATCTAGCAGAGTAAATACCCGAGTCTTTATATTCTTATATAATCTGAAGGGGAAATACTTAGTTTCATATTCCTTTACGTAAAAGGAGGTGTCACCATAGATTTGAAAGCAGAATTCAATTCTACTTCAGCTAATTTCTGCCTAATATGCATGAAAATCTGTAGACTTCTCATAATAGCAGGTTCTTGGCTAAATATTTTTCATGGGAAGAAGTTTCTATCGGTGGTAGTCCTGTTGCCATTTTTAAAATAAACAAAATTCTGATTACTTCTGTGTCCACCAACTACTCATTTAAATGGCAGCGAATATTTAGAAACTTTCCTATCTCTAGCAAACAGACTTTGAACTGAGCTGTCATCGTAGTTTCGAGCTTTGCTTCTTCTTCACTTCCCCTTCACTTCAGATTTTCATTTCATATCATTTCACTCTGCTTCACTGTACTGGGTCACAAACTAATTGAACTCCTTCTGTGTAAATTAATTATATTCCTTTTTTTTTTTACCTTGCTTTCCTGCACAGTGTCATCAAATATTCCTTCTAAAGATTTCTTTACAGAATCAGTTCCTTCGCCAAAAACCTTCAAAAGACAAAGAAATTGTGCTATTTTAAATACAATAAGATGATGCAAATACTTGCTAAATCTGGAAACATTTCGTGTTGATAGAAGAAATGAAGAAGGGCTCAGGAGGAAAATTTGCATATCAATTATATTGGGATAAAATTAGTTTCTAAGTACAAAAATAGCTAAATTATTCTGGTTACCTGGTCTTTTCAAACAAACCCCCAAATGTACTCATTCTAAACTCAACCATTTGGGAAAAGTGAGAGTTACGAGCAAAAGACAGAAAAACATTTTTTTCAAACCAGAAGTAAGGGATGTTAATAGGCAGAACTTATAAATTGCAGCCAAATATTCACTATGGTTTATAAAGTAGTGTCTCTAAATTAATTCCAGTCCCAAAGAAACGCTGTGTGGATAATGTTAAATCATTCATTAATACTTGCAACACATTATTCCTTTGTTGTGTTAAAATGCAGGAACTGTAAATTGATGAAATTATATTAGGGCCAACTCATACATAATTTTCTTAATCTCACCCAGGCTGTTCAGCACACAGAATGTGAAATCTGAAAAAGTATCTACAAGATGACATGTCCTTTCTTAGAAAAGCTAAGATATAGACTTGCTAGCAGTTCAAAAGCCCAGATTTCAACTTGCCTCCCTTTGCAAATTTAGATTTTATGGATGAGAGATGGATGAGAAAATCTTGTCATATTTTATTGACATGTGTTTACTATAAAGTTAAGCAAGTTGGATACACTGCTAAAAACATAGCTTATTTTTTAATAAACCTAGGACACTTGATTAATAATTAATCATACTTTTTCCCGCAGGAAAAAATTGTAAAGAAACCACCATAGCTTCAAAACTACGCGACCCAGGAATGGGAAATAGCTTGCATCAAGTAGATCACAGGGAACATAATTTTCATCTGTTACATTTAATAAACCTTGGTGATGCAGAAAGCAGACATATATTTAAAGTTTTAAAAATTGTGGAGAAGATTGAAAGACAGAACACATACAATAATGGATTTGTGTTACTTGTGTTTAATATTATAGTTCCTATCTGCCCTACATCCCGACAGAAAAGAAAAGAATGTGATAATAAAAAGACCATCTTCAAAGCCTCCAATTAATTATTAAGCCACGTGGGCTACCTGATTAATGCTTGGCCTCCCTTGCTTTTTCTTTGAAGCAGTGTCCAAGCCCCAAAGAGAAGAAAACCGGCTTCTTCGTTTGCTTGCTGATCTTGACATTACCTGTGTTCGTCTTCTGACGCCAGATTCACCTGTGCGAGCTGCCACCTATCAGCCATCAAAAGAAAAAAATCCCTTAATTAAGAGATTCACAATAATGCCAAGAAATACATATCTACCCATATGTATTACACAAACGATTATTTAGGATGAGATAGATGTGCTCAATACTTGCTCAAAATAGAGTTTCACATACATTGCACCTGCCAAGAGAGCAATGGCACATGTGCCATAATAGCACTGCATCGTTTTTTTTAAAAAGTTACATTTTTCAAAGATCCAAACTTAATTTGGGTCTCTTATTAAAGGCAATGCAAATACTGCAGCAGCATCAAAGAAATGCTTATCGTCTTAAATTGGAGGGTTAATTTATACAATTTGAAGATTTTGCCTTCTCCAAATGGAATCAGTCCATCTGGTGACATGCAGTTGGGAAGAGTTATTGTGGCTCCCAACCAAAGGCAATGCCATCATCAAACATCCAAACATCAAACATTATGGTGGCCTCCTTCTTGGAACATCACAAACCCAGAAAAAAGCCAACCATTGCTGGTATTATTCCAGAAGGCAATTAAGATCTGGTTCTCCTGGTTCTCCTTCTAGGTTCTCCTGGATGGCTTTTGAGAGTGGATAGATGAATTGCCCCTGAAAAACTGGTACTAGGAAATTTCTGATTGTGATGGGTATGGTATTGTTGATTGCTACGGTTGTGTTATTGCTGTTAAGTATTGCACCTTTGAATTTTTATTTGTTTCTAATTTCTAAGTTAACCAAATTACTATAATAAGGACTGTAAGCCACTTAAAAGTTATTTTAATAGAGAATATTATAAGTCTTAGATAAATAGTCTTTTTTGAAAAATATAGGAGACAACAGAAGGTCTCTTAGTTCAACAAGTCAATTAAAACTGTTTATATGTGAGTTGTACTGACTCTGCCGCTTATACTGTTGGTCTTAATGATTCTTTCCTTTTCTGCAATAGAAGTTTTTTTCTTTGATTGGTGAGACTTAGATCTATTAAACTTCCAGAAACAGGAGCAGAAATGTTTTTCTACTCTTTTCTCTTTCCTCCCCATTTCCCCAACTTCTGTTCATGCAGTCTTGGAATTATAAATTTATAATGCAAAAGAAAAACACCTATTAAGGTAAATCTATGTTAGTCAGGAATTTGGAAGAGAAAGAGAAACATTTGTCACAAAGAATACATTTGGCTTTTTATGGCTACGGGAGCAGAAACCAGATGTTGCATAGCAACAGCATTCACTCTGCACCAGGTGATACGTAGTTTAACAAAAATAACCTTCAAGTTAAACTCACCAGTGCATGAAAAGAGGACACTGAAAAGATTCCAAGACGACCCATTGCATCTTTAGTTGGCCGACTTGCAAATGCAAGTAATGTTTTGGGATTTGGCAGTTCTCCTCCTTGAAGACTAGCTAAGTAACAACGATATCGAAAGAGGTCCATCTGGAACTGTTCTAAGTTTTGTTCCCAAACAAAGATCTACAAGAAGACAAAATAGATTAAGGAGAAAAAGTATATCTTATATCAGGGTTCTTCAAACTCGGCCCTTTTATGACTTGTGGACTTCAACTCCTAGAATTCCTCAGCCAGCGTGCCTGGCTGAGGAATTAAGGGCCAGGTTTGAAGAACCCTGTCTTATATCATACAAACAGATCACATTTTCCATGAAGAAGGAAGAATTTGATGTTCTAAACGAAGTAAATATACTTATTTCGAAAAAGGAAAAGTGACAGAGATCCTGAAAGAGCTGTTATTTGGATGTTAATGAGATTACAATTTTAAAAAGCAGAAGTGTCTTAAGTTTGTCATGGTTTCCATAGATGTCCAGTTTCAATTTCTTCTTTATTGTGGCCAGATTCTTCACTCAAAGATCCAAAATCACTTAGAAACTGTTTTCATGTAATATCATAGGGATAGGAAGACACCACTTCAATAGAAAAAGACTCTCTAGACCATAGGTGTCAAACTCACCACATTATGTGATGTGTCGCGACGTGTCGTGATGTTTTTTACACTGCCGGAGCTGGGATGGGCGCAGTCTCCATATGATGCAACTGGCCTGTGGGCCGGTAGTTTGATACCCCTACTCTAGATTGTTGACACCATCAGTTTAAAGCCAATGTTTATTTATGTAAAATAAATAAAATAGTCTGGGGAGTATTAAATTTCACCAGTTGTATCATCATTTGTGTTCTTCACCTTGCTAATGGAAAATATTTCCAATAGACTGGAAATCCCCATAATGTAGGTGGTCCTCATTTAATAACCAGTCATTCAACAACCATTCAATCTTATGATGGCGCTGAACAAGTAGAACTTGCAATTGGCCTTCATATAACAGCAGAGTCATGCAATCCCCTGCCAGCTTCTGACAAAGTCAGTGGGAAAGTTGGCAGAAAGTTGCAAGTCATGGTCACGTGAAGTCCTCCCCTAATGACCTCAAATTTAACAACAGCAGCCAGAACTGCCATCACTAAGCAGCACTCATGTGATTTTTTTTTTAACTTATGCTCTTATCATTTAATGATGGAGTTTCTGATTCTGATAAGTGCTAAATGAGGACTATCTCTGTATGATACAGTTTTCCTCTGGATAATCTGTACACATTTAGTAGTCGAAGATAACTCAGCACAGGAGGTCAAATATGTTTACTGAATACATATTTGAGTAGAATAGAGCTGGAGGTCTTCTAGTCCAGCCCCCTGCTCAAGCAGGAGAACCTATACCATCTCAGACAGGTGATTGTCTGAAATTTGGTTGTTTATTTATTTCTGTTGAGGTTCCTTCAGGAGCTCAATATGGCATACATTGCAATTTTAAACATACTTAGGTGAACTCAAAAGAGACTGTGCTCTATGAATTTACATATGATTTTAATCCTTAGCAAAGTCAATCAAAAGTGATCCCTTTCATGTGGGAAGCTTGCATTTCAAAACAGAAACCAGACTGTTTCTTATTTACAAAATTCTGACATAACAAATTTTGAGAAACAAAGTAAAAAAGACAAGTCTAACAACTTTTCAGTATTGCGTAAGAAGTACGTTAGGTCACCTGAATTTAATTTAGAGTTGCATATTGAATACATTAAAGTAAAACTACCTGATCGAGAATCGTTTTCTTTTTCTTAGAGTCTCTAACTGAAGACAAGCTCAGGAAATGCATTTCTCCCATTTTCTTCATCTTCTCATCCATATCAATCTTCTGCTCCAGTTTTTTAATTTCAGTTTTCAACAGTTTCACAGTATCTTCTTTGTGGTGTTGTCGTGCTACTGCTGTGGCACAAGCAGAATGAACTGCTGTGATCCAATTCTCTAATTCTGTTTGGCTAGAAGTCTATAAAATAGAGAGGCCAGAAGCATCTTGTTTAATATAAGCTGTTTTAAAAGATTCTGCTTCAGTAAACTTTGTAGATATTCGTGAACATGTTGTTTTATCACCTTGTATTTAGCATTAGAACCAAAACTAACAACTGCAGAATGTGTCATTAAAACTAAAGAATCATTGTGTTAAAGAAAGCTTCCTAGAACATCCCCAAAGGAATATTCAATGATTTAGACTAGCGTTTTAGAGGCAGCAAGTAAATATTTATAGCATAACTATTTGTTTATAATAATAAAAACTAAATATTAATATTAGTATCATTTAGCAACTTTATAAATGATCATAATATTCCATAATAACTCTATCAGCTTTGTAATTAAATTATGAAACAACTAATTGACAGAATAACCCACATCAAAGAATAAGTGACATGAAGAGTTTTATTAGATCTATATGACTTTATTATATAATAGGCATTTATCTCCACCATTGCTACCACAATAGTTAGTAATAAATATGAAGAAGCAGGAAAAAGAAGAAGAAACCAATAGAAGCACAATAGAAATTAGATGTATAAAAAGAAATGCTTATGTCCCTGACACAGCGATAAAACGATTTACCCGTTTTATTTCCTGGGAAGGTTGAGAAATGAACAAAATTTGATTTTAAATGCCCTTAAAATAGAGCTCAGGACTGAACAACCACTTCTAGCTAGCTAGATTATTATTATTTTTTCAGAATACTGTATCTATTATATTTTATTTATTTATTTATTTATTTTATTACATTTATATCCCGCCCTTCTCCTTGCGGACTCAGGGCGGCTAACAATCAAGTAAAAATACACAGATAACATTACAAGATTAAAAATTAATTAAAAAGGAAATATTTAACTGTGATCTAATTAAAATATAATTAAAACCCCCTCTAAAAATTTCCCCTAGGCCAGTCCTGCAAGCTGGAATAACCATGTCTTAAGGGCGCGGCGGAAGGAAGGGAGATCAGGGAACACCCTGATCTCTGGGGGCAGTTCATTCCAGAGGGTGGGAGCTCCCACAGAGTGAGGTGGATGGAAAATAAAAGAAATAAATAAATAAGTTGCAGTTAAAATGAAGAACCAATTGCTTGGTTAATAAATTTCCATAAATTTATCCCCTGGCTACTGTCTTCCAGCATTATATCACTGCCATTAAAAAAAATGAAAAGATGTATGTATGAGATTTGAAACCCCTTTCTAAATCTTCAGTTAAGGGTAAGTTCTTGTAACCCTTAACTATATTTAATTTGGGTGCAGACATAACTGGAAGATGCATGAGAAAACTTGCAATTAGATCATGCGTGTAAAAAAGGGAACAGAGGGTCTATTCCTGGATCTATTTTTAAGATCTACACACGCAAAATGTTACAAATAACTAAGATTCAAAGTCCTACCCAGAAATCTGTTAACTACATACTAATATTTATTAACTCTTTCGTCACTTTTCTTTCACCTGTTGTATATTTTAAAAAATATTTCACTGACTAATGTCTCCATTTCTAGAAACATAGTCTGTTGCCCACATACTTCCTTATTCATATTTAAATATGTAATAACCTTCAGTAAACAAGCTAAATAATGGGGAAATAATAACAACAATATGACAAGCCAAGTTCTTGGGAAGGACTCGATAGGTGGATAAAAATGCCAAATTCAGTCTAAACATCTGGCTGACTGTGTGACCAACTATAATAACAATAGCTGTTTTAGGTGAATTGATATGGAATAACTATAGAAAGAGCACATAACAAGCTTCATTAGCTGGAAAAAGCCAGAACAATTCTGGTTGACATTGGATATTGACAACTGTAAGTGAAGTTTAAATTACAATGCTTTACTGCATCAAAAATTCAGTGATCAGTGTTTTGACTGGTCAGTGACAGAAAGGGAATGTAACTATTATTTAAGTTGTCTCAGAATTAAGTGAAGTAGGAGGGTTGAGCTATTACAAACTAAGCAGAATTTAGTTTTCTATTATTCTGCCTCCAAAAGAAATGTAAAACCTTATAAAGAAATGTATGTACCTGAAACATGAGCATGCCATTTTAAGATGTCACAGGCATCTGATTAACACCAGATGTCTTTCAAATTTAATGGATCCGCGCAGGTATCCATGGTAGCTGCCTGTCTAAAGTGGAAATCAGTAGGAGTATATTTGGAGGCAAGGCAGCAAAAATTGTGTCAGTTCTTTGAGGTAGGTCAGGAAATAGACACCAGAAGAACTATACAAGCTCAATGTCACTGTTATGTAATATAACAACAGAATCTTGACAGTGTTTCTTTCTCCTTCCTTCTTATGCTAAAGAGAGTCAAGGAAGGACAAGCTTGAGTCTCTTCCTCACTTCCTCCAGTCTTTCCTTCTTTGATGCTTTTGTAACTACTATTATGTGCCTTCTTCAAAGTTACCTCTGAACCCACAATAACATCTATTCTTTGCTTATGCTAAGTAGCAATATTTTTTACAGTTTTGGTTTGCATTTAGTTTCATCAGCAGTTTCTGCTACATATTGAAGTCCTGAATGAGATGAAAATGGCCAAGGATCTTTATATCTGAAATAATAAACAATAACATCTCATAAATAAGACTTTTGTATTAACTTTATATGCTACTTGATACTATTTATATGCTATTGTAAATATTCATGAATTATGTGGGCAAAGGTAGATTATTACATTTAAATTATAATGCATATTTTTTATAAATTTTTACAAATCAAAATTGGGGAGGTATAATAATATGCAGATTAATTCTACCATAATGTGTTATATTTATATATTTCTTCCTACCCACAATTTCTCTCCTAAATCTTAGGAGAAAGAGAGGGAAGGAAGGCCTGATAGATATACCGGTGACGGAAATGACTTTATAATTAAAACAAAACATTATAATTGGCTTAGCACTAGGAGGGCCCCTATGTATTTAACAGCTATCTGGCCCATTGTTTTCTAACCTTCTTTTTGAAAACATTTTGTATCTTTACAGACTTATTAGGAATAAGATTGGTACATAAGTGGCAAATTCACTGAAACAAAAATAAACTCACTGAAGGATACTTTGCCCTTCACTACTAATCTTCCTTAGCAATATAATAATAAAAATAATAATTACTAACAGTAATATATTAAATACATGTATATACCACATGATTGACAGTATCCTGATAATTTACAAATTAAAAATAAGAAAAAAAGAGGGGAAAAAAGAAAAGTAAAGATGGTAAAAAGCAGAAACAAAATAAAACCATGCAATCCAAAGGGGACTTTTCTCATCCTTCGCCATCCTTGCCAAAGGCCTGGATGAACATTGCCCTGTCATTGCCCTGTAGGGTAATGACAAAGCACCTTGAATCACACCTTGAATCATATCTGCAAACTAGCTGGCAACTAGCGCAGCTTGCAAAGCAAAGGGTTACATGAATATCCCAAGACATGCCCATCACTGCCCTCAATGTTATCTTCTGGATCAGTTGACACTTCTGGGTGATCTTCAAGGGCAGCCTCATGTAGAATACATTGTAGTAAGTAAGTCATAACTGACTAAAGGCTCCCTTGATCTAGGAAAGGGTGCAACTGGCACACCAGATGAAGCCTTGCAAAGTTCTACCTGGCCACAGTTGCCACTTGCTCATTGAGCAGGAGCTCTGAGTTTAGTTCAAATGGCACCCTATCCTTGAATGGTGAAGTACAAGGTTAGAGATGAAATATCCCCAAGTCTGGGCAGCCCAAAATTCAAAATCACTTGGTAGAAGTGAATCAGAGATGGTTGCATCCCATCGCGGTCTTTAGGCATTGGGGCAAAATCTTGACAGTATCACTTGGCTAACCCAGGGTCAAAAGATATAATTTGGTGTCATCAGCATATTGATGATACCAAACCCCAAATCAGCAGAGTGATTGAATGTAGATAGTGAAAGGGATGAGAGAGAAAACAGAACCTGAAGCATCCCATAAAGGAGGATTCTAGGGAGCAATCTCTCCCTTACCCTCATGACTGGAACTGATCCCAGAGATAGGACGAGAACTATTATAAAACAGTTCATGCAATCCCCAACCAGCCAGCTCAGAAGGACATACTGGTCAGCAGAGTTGAAAACTGCTAAGACATGCATGAGCACAAGTATAAATATGCAGAAAACGAAGAATGTCAGCTCTAGGATGCTCCTCAATTCATGCAGGCTATGCAAAAATCAAATAGGCTGAAACCCACATGAATTAGTACCCCAACTCAGTATTTCAGAATCTTCAGCAGTATCCAGAGATTTTTGGCAAATGCACAAATTGAAATTGCTCACTGGTTGGAAAAACAGTGCTATACCTATTCTTTAATAGGAGAGTATCTCTCCATCTAAAAAAGTAAACCTTTACAAAAAAAATATTTTATGATGCCTTTAGGCAATTTTTTTCTTTGATGCAAAAGATATATGCATACTTGAAAGCAGAGCAGGGAAGAGTTATAAACAATATCCCCAAGTAGTGTTTATAGAACTGCAGTAAAATATTTTATGGGTTCTAATGTTATGTTTCCCCATATATTAAATGTAGGTATTAAATACATGTTTTCTACACTTTTGAGGTCCAACATTATTATTATTGATCATCGCACAGTCAGCCAGATGTTCAGACTGGGTTTGGCATTTTTGACCACCTACTGAATCCTTACCAAGGACCTGGGATAGGTAGATCTGGATGTTTTGTGGTGTTACAGATATCGTTGCAGGATCGTTGACTGATGGCAAATTTGTCATTGCCAATGGTGTCCAAGTGGTGCTCCAGTTGTTTTGGGATTGCACCCAAGGCACCTATTACTATTGGTAGTACCCTTGCTTGCCTTTGCCACAGTCGTTCTATTTCTATTTGTAGGTCTTTGTATTTTGTTATCGTCTCCAGTTCTTTCTCTTCTATTCTGCTGTCTCCAGACACTGCCACGTCTACTATCCAGACTTTTTTGTCTTTCTTATCAACAATTGTTAATTCCGGGGTGTTATGTGGGAGATGCCTGTCTGTTTGAATTCTAAAGTCCCAGAGCAATTTAATGTCTTCATTTTCTATGACTTTCTTTAGTTTATGGTCCCGCCAGTTCTTGCTTGCAGGCAAATTATATTTCTTGCAGATCTTCTAATATACCATTGTTGCTACTTTGTTATGTCACTGCTTGTAGTCAGTCTGTGCAATCTTCTTGTAACAGCTTACCAGGTGGTCCACTATTTCTTTGCATAGGAGTCACTTACTGTCTGTTGCTGTCTTCTCAATTCTGGCTTTGTATACATTTGTCCTTAAGGCTTGGTCTTGTGTCTCTTTCTTCAACTTTCCTGCTCTTAGCCATTGCCAGGTCTTGTTATTATCTGCTTTCCCTGCTATTTTTTTAATGTACTGGCCATGTAATGTCTTCCCATGCTTCCATTCTGTTCTGCATTTGGTCTTTTTTGTAGGCCAGTTTGGTCTCTCCAGTAGTCAGTAAGCCTTCCTGATGTACTAACTTCAGTGCATTTTCAACATTGTCCTTCAGATATTCTTCCAAAGCAATTTTTTTCTTCTTCAACCATCTGATGCACTTGCAACATTCCATGCTCACTTATTTGCCTTGGTAGGTACAGTCTATCAGTGTCGCTGCAAGGATGAAGGCATGATTCATTTATTTTTCTGGTCTTCCTATCTATTGCTTTTAGTTCTGCTTGAGTCCAGTCCAGTATCTTAAGATCTTTTTCACTCTCTTGATGTATTATTATTATTGTTGTTATTGTTAGTACAGGTAACCCCCCTGATACGAGCGTTTATTTAGCGAGATTTCACAAAAATGAGGTTATTCAGAAACGGTATACATTAGAAATTCAAAATTGCGATCAAAAACAGGCCTCTGTAGCCATGTGACTTGGATTCAGTGTTGGCTGCTGTGGCAGCCATTTTAACTCTGTGACTTGCCTGGGTTGGTTCAGGCCTATGAGAAACCGGAAGTGGGTGGTTTTTTGTTTTGTTTTTGGTGCCTGGTCACATGGCCAAACAAGATCCGGTGATTATTGCAGCAGGCAGGACCGTTTGTTTTTGTTTTCCTGGAGCTGCATGGAAGATCTGCTGCTTGCTGGGCTTGAGGACTACTGTAGAGAGCTAGAATTACTCCCGTAAGTATTTTAAAATATTCTACTATATAGTATAGTATAGTATAGTATAGTATAGTATAGTATAGTATAGTATAGTATAGTATAGTATAGTATAGTATAGTATAGTACAGTACAGTACAGTACAGTACAGTACAGTACAGTACAGTACAGTACTGTATTGTATTGTATTGTATTGTTTGTAATCACTTTGGGAACTGCTCTGCTTTTTATTGTGCTTGTAAGTACAGTACTTAGCAAGATTGTTTATTTGCGTTTGCCCGAAACTTATAGCATGTGACTGCTGCTGCCTCCTCTCCCTAGCACAGACCCACCAGAGATTCTGCCTGGAGAGGCTTGTGCTGATCAGGGGCAGTGTTTGTTTGTTTTTTTAAAAGGTTTTAAATTTAAATTGCCTCCAGAAGTTGTGGGTGTTTCCTCACTGGAGGCTTTTAATAAGAGACTGGATAGGCATTTATCAGAAATATAGTACAATACTGTACTCTCTTGTGAGAGCAGTGGGTTAGACTAGATGACCTCAAGGTCCCTTCCATCTCAGTTACTATTGCAAGCCAACAGTTCTGTAAACTCCATCCCCATTTCCCTGCATGCCTGCCTGGAGACGCTAAAGCTAATTACTTTAGTGGCAGCTGCAATTGTAGAGTTCTCCACCACCACCCCTCTGAAGACGCTTGAGCTGTCTAGTAACAAATGGGGTTTTTTTTTAAAAAAGGCTGCTGCCTCCTTAGGAGGCAGTGTACAGTATTGTAGTTACTGAAACCAGAAACAGCTGTTTGGTGGCCGGAAACAGCCTGCAGCAGCGGCAGGAAAAGTCTCTCAGTTCAGGCAGCCATTGGAGGAAATAGTAAGTCAAATCTTTGTTCGTTTAATGACCCATTTGATTCAATTAATAAGTTTGATTTTAAAATGTTGTAATATTGAGTCTGATTCATTTGGCGATTACGAGCCTATTAGGCTCGTACCTTGGGGACTCCCTATATTTAGTCTTCAATTCAATTCACAGTCTAGGACTGGTAAAAACTTAACAGTTCAAGTCCTAATCAAGGACCTAAGAACTGTTAAGGTAATGTTTGAGTATATAGGCAGTTGTGAATAAGGTATTATTATTATTGTTGTTGTTTGTTTGTTTGTTTGTTTATTATTACTACTAATACTATTATGGAAGACATGAGCCCCAAATATATCACAGGATAACCATGGAATGGTATGATGTAGTCTGGTCTTGCAAAAAAAAAGAACAACCTGGAAACAAATTCCTATCAGCTCTAAATTGCATAAAGTTCCCCAGCATTTGGTTATATCATAGCACTATGTATTTCGGATGAGCCTAATTTATAAAATGAACCCACATTTATCTATGATATCTATTTATCTACACCACTTATCTATGCAATGAAACTCTGGGTAGTGAATAAAGGAAAAACCCTAAATATCAATAGTGATTATAATTTATACAGTTATAAGTAATTAAGCAGGTCAATAATTAGGTGCCCTCTTCAACTGCTGAAGTATCATCCAGGGCTTTCTCTGAAGGATATGGTCAAGAAGGAAATCAACAGCATCAGCAGCCACAACAACATGGATGGAACTAACCTGAAAGAGAAATGCATCTCCAAGAGAATTGCTGAGGCAAAAGACATAATCTTTCTTTGGATGTTCAGGTACTGCTTGCACTATGCTGTTTTCCACCCAGACTGCATGTTTTGGGATGCTGTTGTGGTCTATCCCAGATCTGCCATCACTTTCATAGAAGAATAAAGTACAACCTTGAGAAAAACAGCAACTTATTAGCAACCTATGCATCTAACAAGATAATACAGCTAACACAATATCGTTCAGATTTATGTAATGCCAGCATTCAGAATGATGAAACAATAGAAATAATAGCCTGTACAAGTTCTAATAAATAAATAAGCAAGCAAGTATGTTCTGCTGTGGATTGTGTATATCTACTATTTCATTCACTTAGCCATGTCCTGTTTCAGTATGTTCCATTTCATGCATTATAATATATATACAGTATTTGCCATTCCTATTCAATCAACAATTAGTGTTCCATGTTCACCAAGCATGTTCCGCCTTCTATGGACTGAGAGTGTTTCCCCTAAAAACTTGAATTTTTGACAAACTTAAAAATCACCAATATCTTGATTCCCCACCTTTTGTTCAGAGCTAATGTCAGTTTGACAATATAATGACCAGTATTAACAGAATTTTCAGCATACATGGTAACAATAATCATATTTCACATAACACTTTTAGTAATACAGGGATGCATAAAGTACAATATAGAAACTATGTTACCAGTTTCAATATCTGGACCACAAGTAGCATTCTTTCAGAATAGTAAGGACAATGGTAATGCCATATTTGGGGCAGTAGGAAAAGATTCAAACAAAGCCCAATTTTACACTGAGCATCCTAATACTATTTTATGCAAGCTTAAATCTAATTTAGAGACAGTCTTGTTCTCTACATCTCAACAACCTGAGATACATGCAACATATTTGCTTAAAAAAAACCTTTGTGGGAACCCTGCATTTGAGTTAAAACAATTGCCATGAGCTTGACATGTGCATGACTTTCTTGATTACTTCACAAATTTATGAATAAAAGAATGCTATGATTGCATTACATTTTTGTATGCAGATGATGCTGTATTAAGATAGAAAACTTTAATTTTTTTAAGATTTAATAGAAAGATAGCAATGTGGTTTGTTGTAAGAAATGATTGTCCATAAGTAAAGAGGGCTCTGCATAACAGTGCACCTCTGTCCACTTTATTATATGAAAGTAATGTGGATTGTATAGAAGTGAGTGACCAGTATGAAATAAGCACATTGAAATGGCTTGGTCACACAGAGTATATGAATGAGGACTTAATTGCAAAACATGTATATGAAAGAAGAACAAGTCAATGGATGGAAAGGAAGTAGAAGTCTGAGAAAGTCATGTTGGATGGAGTGGATGAAATCCTCAAAAGGAAGAGGAGAAATATAAAGAACAAAAGTCTTCCGTGAAACAATTATTTAAGATTTCTCATGAGTTCTTTTTTTCTTTGGAAATAAATTAACCTGATACAGTTTTGATCCTCAAAGGAGTATCTAATTGCAAAGGAATGCATAAAAGGGAATGCCACTATTAAGCAAAGATAAAGCCACTTCATGTGGGGAAAGGAATCTGAGTCAGACTTATTATCCTAATTTAAAAATCTACATTACACTGGCAGATAGAATAGATGAAAATAGATGAAAAGCATGTGTGCATAATACTGAAGGAGTCTTATATCTCTTTAATACACCTCTTGATTGTCATTAATTTTTTGGGACTAGAGCCCATTTGGTCAGAGTTAGCAAGGGGAAATAGAATGTATTTTCATAAGTTAAATAACCTTTTTTTTTACCCATCTGCACAAGTAATATTGTCCTGCCTTTCTATAAATGAAATCAAATAATGAGAGAACCAGCAGATATAATCACTGGTTCCTAAAACAAAATCATTTGGGGGTAATTAGATGTGCAAAAGAAGATACACACCCTTGAAACATATAGCCCAAGCTGACTTAAAGTAAATAATGAGAATTTTCTGGAAAAAAAAGTTGTGGCCTGATCTAACCTCACTGAAAGGGAACAAACACTAGCATAATATTTTAGCTAATGATCAGTTTCAAGTTAAAAAACAAACAAACCCCAATTTTTCAGTTAGGCTAGATGCTTATAGCTTGGAAGGATGCAATTAAAGTTTATATTAGTTTCAGAGTTTCAGATCATTTTTTCAATTTAATGTATATTGTCTACTTTCAAGTTATACAGTTACCAGGTTAACCCAAGACCTCAGAAAATTGTCAGCAAAACACAGCAGTTGTTCATTTCAAAGCTTAAATACTGACTTTACTAAACCTCAGTAATCCAATCTGAGTCACACTTTAATACCTCTTTTCTAATCATCCTTTCCCTTTTCTTTCTCTCCAGATGGCTGGGTTTATTTGTGTCACACTATCACATTCTTCCTGCACACTGCTTGGGTTAAACGAATCACTGCTCTCTCCAATCCTTAACTGGCCATAGCTGATCAGTTTTTCTGGACTCAGCTGTAATGCAAGCAAAGGTCTCAACATACTACAGCTCAAAGTTACAAGGGCACTGAAAAAAGTGACTTATGACTGTTTTTCACACTTATGACTGTTGCAGCATCCCATGGACATGTGATCACTTTTTGAGACCTTCTAACAAGCAAAGTCAATGGGGAAACCAGATTCACTTAACCACCATGTTACTAGCTTAACACCTGCA